GTAAATTGCCCCTTTACAAGAAAAAACCTTCGACGGCTGTTAACATTTTTGCGCTTTTCTGCCCCTCTCCTTCGCCATTGTTGTTGCTCGTTGCGGTGCGAACAAATTTCACTTTCACAGCATCCAAAGCTCGTGATATCGACATGTGTAGTTAATTACGCATGATCCGGCGGGCGATCGGCGGGGGTTAACCGGGGGAGTGGATCCATAAGCTGCAAGCTGGGGGCCGACTTCAATTTCTATGCCACTATGGCAAATAATATCGATCGTTTACGGCCACAAAAGCCACGGCCACAAATGACATCAAATTGAGTGGAAACGCTGGTCTTACCGTTATAATTTCGAAATGCTGCACTGCAAGAAATGTGTTATGAAATTTGTGGTTTCTTTATAACATGTAGCGTATATTATTATTAACATAATTGTATCTTATAAAATTGAGGTGCCGAGAAATAGGTTCTTTGTTTCGTTTTATTTTGAAGACCACTTAAATAAACTCGTCTTTGTGAAGAATGAGAAAGCTCATGAAAGCACGCGAAACTTATTTCTGCCGTAAACTCTAAATATAATTGCTATATTTACATTTATTTGTAACATAAAAATCTACCGTCTTACACTCATTTGATCATATAATTCAAATTATCTTGTCAACTAATCTTAATTAGTATATAACACGCTTCTATGTGAATATATTGCTCTACAGTATCTTAATAATGTCAGCAAACATGTGCTAAAAAATGCATAAATAACCGGTACCGATAAACATTAAATTGATAATTTATATAATTATTTTCGGTGTATTAAAAGCAGGTCCACAGCATCTGCAATGTTTGAACGGCAGTGAAACTTTTACCGAGCAACAACCGCCACTTGGAATCGATCGACAAACAACAAATAACATTCCAACGCATAAAACTCCATTCTGTTTTGTTAACCAAAAAAGTGTTTGCGGTTGCGACCGCACCTCTGTCAATCCACTCAGATTTTTCGGAAACGCATTTCACCCGCGGATGATCTTGACTCGGGGGGTCTCCATCTTAAGATCAGCTATCCCATGTCAAAAGCAACAAATTTGTCAGCTACTCAATTAAGCAAATATCCGAAGACGTTTATGAAGACATATAGAAACGTATTTATATTCGCCATGCCCCCCGAGGCTCCAAAACTCCAAAGATGAATGAAAACGAAGAAAAAAAGTGTGCAGAGTTTTAGTTTCGACGGGGGATTTGTGAAAGCGTTCAATTAAATTAATGGACTCCAAGCAGCCGTTTTGGCAAATGCCAAAGCCAAAAAACAAATGCAGCTAGTGCCGATAAATAATTACTTGACCGTGGCATTAAATGCAATTTCGTTTTCTTTTAATTGACAACCCATGTCAATGAATGAGAGGCCAAATTCCATACATGGAAATTAACCAGAAGAAAATAGTTCAGGCTCCCGATGAGAGTTATTATCGAATTAGACCAGTCCGAATGACTGAAAATGTGTGAAAAATGCCTTACAATTTGAGAAATTACACTGTTAGAGGTCTTTGTTTGTCTTTGATTTGCGGGAAATGTCCTGTGCTAATGCCGGCTATTCAAATCGAAATCCCGGGCATCATTGAGATGTCCGATTCGTATCGATATCCGGCTCTGGGGGCCCGAAATGTAAGCCACGTAAATTACCGAGAATTAGAACGATCCAACCGCGAGTTATGTGAGTGCAGTGGTTCACCTAGATTGCAATGGACCAGTTACCATATAGCCATAGCTATTGGCCTGACCAGCGTCACGCATTGTCATTCAATCAATCGGAGACATCGCCACCAGTCATCCGACGACTTTTCATTGCATTTTCACTTGCGAGCGCTTTTCACGTGATTTAATGCACCGATACTATAAATATATGAGTGCCGGCGAAGAAATGAAAAATGCTGCACCCAGATCGTAAACTAATTAGCTGAAAACAAAAGTCTCCAGTTGCACCTTTCGCCTGCGATATGTAAGCAAATAATTTTATAGCGTTAATTAAAAAAGAAAACAAAACAAAGGAAGAGAAAAATAAATATATGCCCTTATATGCGGCATCTGTAAGAAGCGGGCTCGAAGCCCAGAAAAAAAGAGAGGGAGACGCACGACAAGAAGGCGGTGAAAACTTTCACTTGCCAAACAGCCACAATAAACAATTCCATTTGGCAGTTACACATAACAACAGCAGCAACAATGAGCATTAAACAAGCTCCATCAGCTGCTGAAGAAGAAATATTTGTTGTCTTCTTTGTTGGCGATTGAAGGCGCTTGATAAGGAATTTGTTTGGGTGCCAGCAATTAGCAAAAAAAAAATTCAACAAAATTTCGCTGCCTTTTGCTAATTGCCAAAGATTTCTAGTTTTATATGCAAATCTCTGGCCATTTCCTAGGGAAGAAAGTGGCCGAGAAAATCAAATAAAAACAAGAAAGGAAAGCTAACTTCGGGCGGAGCCGAAGTTGAAATACCCTTGCAGAATATTCTGCAAATTATATTCTCCAAAATTATTCATATGATGCATTTTTAATACTCATAAAAAATCCCACCTTCCTAACTTTAAAAACACCAAAGTTATTTCATTTCCGATCAATCAGTTATATGGCAGCTATAGGATATAGTCGGCCGATCCTTATGAAATTTAATATGTCGAATTGATTGGGCCAAAATAAAACCCATAGAAAATCCCAACTTCCTAACTTTACAAACACCAAAGTTATGGCATTTCCGATCAATCAGTTATATGGCAGCTATAGGATATAGTCGGCCGATCCTTATGAAATTTGGTAGGTCGGATTGATTGGCCAAATATAAAACCCATAGAAAATCCCAACTTTCTAACTTTACAAACACCAAAGTTATGGCATTTCCGATCAATCAGTTATATGGCAGCTATAGGATATAGTCGGCCGATCCTTATGAAATTTGGTAGGTCGGATTGATTGGCCAAATATAAAACCCATAGAAAATCCCAACTTCCTAACTTTACAAACACGAAAGTTATGGCATTTCCGATCAATCAGTTATATGGCAGCTATAGGATATAGTCGGCCGATCCCGGCCGTTCCGACTTATATACTGCGTGCAAAGGAAAGAAGGGTGTGTGCAAAGTTTCAATCCGATAGCTTTAAAACTGAGAGACTAGTTTGCGTAGAAACAGACAGACGGACAGACGGACATGGCTATATCAACTCAGGAGGTGATCCTGATCAAGAATATATATACTTTATAGGGTCGGAGATGTCTCCTTCACTGCGTTGCACACTTTTGACCAAAATTATAATACCCTCTGCAAGGGTATAAAAATACCCACTCAAATAAACGAATGAACCACCGTTAAATGGGAACAGCCCCCAGAAACAATACAAACAAGAATCTGTTCCTAATTTTAACGATTTTCACTTAGCACAAAATAGAACGCTGACCTACGATAATAGTTATCCCACAATCTTGAGTGAAATTTTGGTTCTGGTTTTGTTTATTGTGACAAATTATTAATAACGTTTTGTAAATATGATTTCCTAACAAAAATAATAATAAATAATATAAACAGGCAGAAATTATCATTTCAGAACTCATAATTTATTTTATTTATGTTATTATGTTTATGAATCTTTGAATAGGTCCCCATTTTAGTTAATTTAGGTTTTTTAAATCATTTAAAGATAATAATATTAAGAACAGCGAAAAAGTATTTTTGATATTTTAAGCATTTAATACAGAGAGTTTGGGAATAGTTCACAGCGATCACATCATTTTTACTTTTACCATTCCCAAAACTAAAAATTCTATTGATTTCTATATACGGGTATGGAGATGGAAAATGAGAAAATTGTGATTGCGTAATACAATCAGCTGTAGGGTCACTGCTAGACTGGCTCCTCGCACAACCACCATCCTCCTCCCACTGCCAAAAACAATCGGCAGCTAGTTTAGTGGTATCCGTTACTGTTTCAGTGGGTTAATGGTACACTTGCTCAATTCCAGCAAGCCGGTTTCATCGGCTGCTCCTCGGACTTTATGGCCGCGGCTTGTTAAAAACCCATTTACATGTGTTTTTCGTGAAGAAGACTTGGGCACCAAAACACTATGCACCATGTGTAAAAGTAAAACTGCCAGCCCAAGTCTCGGAGTTAGAGCCAAAAAAAAAGAAGCGGGAGAGCAAGTGAAATGCGTTCGCGGCTGAGAAGCCGAAGCCGCTTACTTTTCCACCGCTCCGGCGGCTGTGTGAAAGCTGTCAGTCTTCGGTCTTCCAGTCTTCAGGTCTTTAGTCTTCCAGTCTTCAGTCTTTATCGGCACTCGAACGCAGTCGCACCGTCGGAATCGGCAGTCCAAAACTCTGTTGGCCAGGCCTAGACTCTTTCTGTTACTTTCGGGCCACTGTTAACTCCATGGCCAAGTCATGCTAGAGTGCGACTGTTAAACGTAAGCCTCCCCCCTCCCACCTAAAGACTAGGAAAAACAGTCGAAAATTAATGGATGGTCGTAAAGTGCAGCCACTGTGTGGAAAACTAAAAACCTGACGCTGCGTTGGCGTTTTGGACTCGGGGATTCGGATTTGGATTCGGATTCGTATTCGTAGTCGTAGTTGTATTCGAAGAAGCTGAAGTTGTCTTGCGGAGTACTGTTATAGTGAAAATAGAAAGTGGTTCCTGTTTGGTGCGCGCGAGTTTTCATTTGCTTTACATAAAATGCAGTTTTCTTTCTCGCGCATTAACTGACACCATAAGCCTGAAAACGGGCAATTGTGGCCATTAATTTGGCTGCTTAATGACGGCCATAAAGTCTAATGTCGAATTACAAGTGTCCACCAGGGTGAATCTCTACAAGCATTATTAATAAGTGAGATAAGCCAAGTTGTTGGCTAACAGTGATTTACAACTAGTGCTAATAACAGCGCGCATTTACAGCCTCTCTTGGATGGCCTCAAAAATACATATTCGTATGCAAATCCGCCGCATTGTTTACCCTTGTTCCCCTTTCTTTTCTTGCAGACACCACACGAAAATAGAAAAAAAAAAGAACAGCCGCAGCAGAGAAGAAAGCAGCGAGTGAGGCCGAGTAGCGAAATCCAAAAATCCACATTTTTGGAATTTCAATTTCAAGCCAAAACACACAGAACCAGATCAAAATGGGACACCTGACGCGAAGCAGCAGCCTATTGGCCATAGTCCTATGCCTGGTACTTAACACAAAGGTAAGTAATATACCCGTAGTATACATTATGGGATCTGGAAAGTGTGGGCCATGATTTCAATTAGGAAACGTACAGTTAGAAGATCTGTGGTGTGGCCCACTTTGCAGCAGCAGCAGCTCATTTCGTATGCAGACCCAACCTCTAGCGGATCTCTTCACTTTCGACTCAAAGATAGACTACCGTTCGATCAATAGCGATTCGAATGCAAATCACTGCGAGTGCCTATTGATGGATTGGGTTGGTGGGGAGGTCCGAGCAGAATATGGCTATAGCGGATCGGATCGAATCGCTGGCAGATCAATATCAATTTCGGATCGAGAGAGTCTGCCAGTGAGGAATGGAGGAAAATGTAACAACTAAACGGCACTTTGCTAATCATTACAATTAGAGTTGGAAAATTAGCTGCGAGAGAGAAAAGGAAGCAGATATGTAGAAGAAACTAGGAGAGGGGAGTACATACTTACATATGTATGTATATTTTATGTTTACTTTTACAGTGGGCGAGTCAACAGCATCTTAACAGCGATTTTACAAATCAGAGGCGTGGTTTTAAAAATATTATATTATGGGGGAATTTATATAGTTAAGGATTCAGCAAAATATGTAAAGAACTCTTGTTCTTTAGTAAAATCATTTTATTAGGAAAATTCTCTTCTATAATAAATTAAAAACTTTACAACAATTTTAAGAGCGATAATAAAGCTTAATATCAATTTAAAATTAGGTAAACAATTCTTTTGATTTTATAGAAATTATTAAATATTTATAAATCTAGGTTTCTATTATAAATTGATTTAAATGATTTGTGTAAATCTTAAATACCCCTAATATTCATCGTTGCGATGGACTGTCAATCAATATTAGAAAAGGCCATAAATTTGGTCGATTTCTTGGGGCTGCCGCACGCTTTTGTTTGATAAGCATGGCCAAGACAAAATGATTTTTCCCCTTGAAAAAGTCCAGCCTTCAGTGGGTTATTTAAAGCGCATCAATCACTGGAGGCCGATGGAAAACACACACTCGGCGGAGTTTAGCCGATGCAATCACGTCAAGGAAAACGCAAAACTGGCCAACTGAGCGACTGGCCAGTTGGATGGAGAGCCGAGTATCCAACGATTCAACCATCCAACTAACCAACTGCGTGTCTGGGTGCTGAGGCGGCGAAGAAATTGCAGTTATGCTCTGATTTGTACCAGTTTTGACTTTCTTGTTTATGGCGCATTAATTCACAGAGATTGCTTTATTATTTATTTATTGTCAGTTTTCTTTCTCCAAAGCGTCGGACGAAAAAAAGAGAGAAGAAAAATTACCAATGCCATCGAGGCGATCGATCGATGTGTTTATATTGATATCTCCATTGCCAAGTGCGTGGAATGTCCAAAAAAGAAAAGAGTCAAAGAGTCGAGACTTTTTTCGTTAGGTACGCGTATCTGTTTCTTTTGTTGGCCAGCTCGTTTTCCTTTGGTCATTTCACTTTCAAAATCATCTCACGACATCTCTGAACGCGTGGTCACCAGCCACCGAAAGCAAAAAAAAAAGAAAAAATAATAAATAAATAAACACAACAACCTATAGAAAAATCCACACCGTCATCGTGCTGGATTTAACTTTCGGTTTTCGTGGGGCCCCCGCCGGACTTTTGAGATACATCCGCTTCCCGTGTGCCACCAGAAAAAACCATTAAATTATGAACCAGATGTGAAGCCCCAGCAAAGCCGAAAGAAAGAAAGTGACAAGGCCCTGCGGGGGGCGGTGAAGGGGGCGTGGCTCTTTCTCTGTTGTCTTACGCAATGGGTTAAGCTGCGTTTTGGGTATCAGTTTTTTTTTGTTTTGTGTTTTTGGTAAGCGTGACGCTCTGCCAACCATTTAATTTCAAAATACTCCAGCTGTCGTGTAATTTTCAACGCTTCGCGTCTCTTCTTTTCAAATGTCGTCGACTGTGATTTCGGTGTCTGGCTGAGATTGCGATTGCTTAACACAAATCCAATTAAATGACGGAATAAGATAGGCCAGGCAGACCCGAAATTGAAAGCTTTCCGCAATCCTGTGATCTGAGCCATAACCTAGGTTGTAATCGAAACATTTATAGTGGGCTTAATATTTTGTCATCGCATATGTGCATAAGGGAAATAACGAAAGCTGCTGAGATCTGGAATTATGAAACTATAAATTACAAATTTGGGGAAGGGCAAAACCAGTGAAAACCAATAAAGGTAATAGGTTTTATAAATCAGGTTAAATATTTCCTAGCTTGCTTTTCAATCTTTAAATCTTCTTATGATTAATAATTCATTTAATATGCAGAAAACTCTCACCAAAAAAAAACGTTTTACAAGGCATTCTAAACGAAGGTCTTATATAATAAATGTTCAATGCTGCGTATGCGTGATATTGACTTAAATATTACTCATACGCAGTGTTGCATGATTTTCTGTTATCTATAATCAAATTAATTTTGAGGATTAATTTATACTACATAAACCCGTAAATTTCTTGTCCCGTAACACTTTTCTAATACATTATTTCCTATCTTCTTGCCACAGCACCTGGCGGTCCATGGCGACGCCTCGCACATTGAGTCCGCCGCCCTGCCCCTCGAACACAGGGCCGGCTACGGTCCGCCGGCGCCCATTTACGGAGCGCCACAGGGTCCTTTGAGCACCGGGGCCACCAACGATGTGTCGGAGGAGGCCTGGCCCCTCGCCAGCACCAATGACAGTCCGCAGATCAAGCACCTGCAGGTGCAGTGCGAGAAGACACACATGCGGGTGAACATCGAGTTCGACCGGCCCTTCTACGGCATGATCTTCTCCAAGGGATTCTACAGCGATCCGCACTGTGTGCACTTGAAGCCGGGAACCGGCCACCTGAGCGCCACCTTTGAGATCTTCCTGAACAGCTGCGGCATGACCAGCTCGGCCAACCACAATGCGGCCGGATACGGAGCGCCCACGCCATCGGGCAGCTATGTGGAGAACACGATCATCATCCAGTACGATCCCTATGTGCAGGAGGTGTGGGATCAGGCCCGCAAGTTGCGCTGCACCTGGTACGACTTCTACGAGAAGGCTGTGACCTTCAGGCCTTTCCAGGTGGACATGCTGCATGCGGTCACTGCCAACTTCCTGGGCGACAACCTCCAATGCTGGATGCAGATCCAGGTGGGCAAGGGTCCATGGGCCTCCGAAGTCTCTGGCATTGTGAAGATTGGACAGACCATGACCATGGTGCTGGCCATCAAGGATGACGAGAACAAGTTCGACATGCTGGTGCGCAATTGTGTGGCCCATGATGGCAAGAGGGCTCCCATCCAACTGGTGGATCAGAACGGCTGCGTTGTCAGGCCCAAGATCATGAGCAAGTTCCAGAAGATCAAGAACTTTGGACCCTCTGCCTCCGTGGTTAGCTTCGCCTACTTCCAGGCCTTCAAGTTCCCCGACTCGATGAACGTGCACTTCCAGTGTGTGATCCAGGTCTGTCGCTACAACTGCCCGGAGCCCAAGTGCGGTCCTGGTCTGCCAGGTGGCGAGTACGGTCTGCCCCAGATTGGTGCCAATGGTCTGTCTGAGGAGTACGGTCCTCCGGAGGCCTATGAGAGGAACGACTTCGCTTTGGGAGGTCCAGGAGTTCTGCCCCCAGCTGCCTATCCTGATCCACGTCACCCTTCGTCCGATGCCACCGGAGCTTACTCTGAGAACCAGCCCGATGTGGTGCCCTCGCCACAGGCTCAGACCTCGGCGGCAGTGCCCACTGCTGACTCGGGATCCGTGTCCGGACCGGCCAGCTCACCTCAACCCCAGCCCACGGGCAGCAATGAACTGGGTCTGCCACCACCACCACTGCCGGGACAGAGCGGTCAGTACAGCACGGTGAAGCGCAAGGATGACCTCAGTGCTGGCGGCAACCTGGTTTCCCTGGGAGGACGCCCCCGATCCGTGGAGGGATTGGACGATCTGCGTGGCGTGCGCCGGCGCAGGGACACCATGGACATTGTGATGAAGCCACAGAGGATCTACAAGCGCAATGCGCAGGAGATGACCGACGTGAACACCAGCCGGATTATCCAGGTGGTGGCGCCCGGCGATGTGAACTTTGCGCTCAACAGCAATGCCAGCAATGAGACGGTGGTGATCCAGTCCGCTCGCTCCGCGGATGCGGAGACCATCTGCATGTCGGTGCCCAGTTTCGTGGGAGGATTGGTGATGCTGCTCCTCGTCCTGGCCGTCGCCTCTCTAGTCGCCGCCTTCCTCTTTGTGCGCGTGCGCCACTTTGATCGCAAGGGAGCGGGCATGGCCTATGTGAACTAATCTGGAACCTGGAAGCGGGAGTCTGAAGGACCAGAGAGAGGATCCCATCACCACCATCAGCGACGACGATCGGCGTGAACAGAAAACCAAATCAGTTTTATGTGCACTTCAGAAACACTCATCCACCCAACCCTTCCATCAGCAAATCTTTATAGGCACCCTATCCTGTAGCCATCTTCACTATTTATTCTTTGGTTATTTATTGAGAGCCCACTTTCAAATGGTTTCCTTCTTTACCACTAAACGCCCTATCTTCTATATGTTTCCCTAGTTTTAGACGAAGCGAAATTGAATTGTCAGACTTGTTAAGTTTCAGTTATACCTACAAAGGATTCGAGGCCATCTGATCGGACAGATACGCCTTGAATGTTACATTATGCAAGTTAATATCGAAAAAAAAAAAAACGAAGTAAAGAAGCGGCATACATGGAAAAGCAGAAAATCGTTTACAATAAGTTAATATAGCAAATGTATATATTAAATTATTTATTTATTACTTTATTTGATAGCTGCGAAATAATAAAAAGTTTACTTTTATTAAGCACCCAGTGTATTAAATGGTTATTTTACTATTCATTATCGGGCAAGGCAACACCTGATAAGAAAACGCAAACAAAGCTAATGCAAACTTTATCAAGGTGATGAAATGTTTGGGTGGGAGTTTGATAAGCATTTGGCTGTGAGCTTTGCTAAAAATACAATAAATTTGCTAAATTGGTAGTTTAGCGTCCCAGAAAGTTTTATTAACTTTTACCATTGATATTCAGCATTGTCATTCTTAGATTGCGAGTCCCAAGTTTCAGATAATAATAAAGTTGGGATTAAAAGTATACTATACTCTTTTGGTTTGCATGTAAAAACTGCATTATCATTATGATACAGAGGAAAATTTCAACTTGTGTCAATTGTTTTGCCGACTACAAAAACAGATTTAATATTATCTATGAAAAACAATTATGAATTGAAAAAGGAGCTATTAAATTATAAAGTCTAAAATGATAATTTGGATCATTTTCAAAACAAAACAAGAAAGAAAAGCTAACTTCGGGCGGAGCCGAAGTTGATATACCCTTGCAGAATACTCCGTAAATTATATTCTCCAAAATTATTCATATGATGCGTTCTTAATACTCATAAAAAATCCCAACTTCCTAACTTTAAAAACACCAAAGTTATAGCATTTCCAATCGTTCAGTTATATGGCAGCTATAAGATATAGTCGGCCGATCCTTATGAACTTTGGTAGGTCGGATTGATTGGCCAAAAATAAAACCCATAGAAAATCCCAACTTCCTAACTTTACAAACACCAAAGTTATGGCATTTCCGATCAATCAGTTATATGGCAGCTATAAGATATAGTCGGCCGATCCTTATGAAATTTGGTAGGTCGGATTGATTGGCCAAATATAAAACCCATAGAAAATCCCAACTTCCTAACTTTACAAACACCAAAGTTATGGCATTTCCGATCAATCAGTTATATGGCAGCTATAAGATATAGTCGGCCGATCCTTATGAAATTTGGTAGGTCGGATTGATTGGCCAAATATAAAACCCATAGAAAATTCCAACTTCCTAACTTTACAAACACCAAAGTTATGGCATTTCCGATCAATCAGTTATATGGCAGCTATAGGATATAGTCGGCCGATCCTTATGAAATTTGGTAGGTCGGATTGATTGGCCAAATATAAAACCCATAGAAAATTCCAACTTCCTAACTTTACAAACACCAAAGTTATGGCATTTCCGATCAATCAGTTATATGGCAGCTATAGGATATAGTCGGCCGATCCCGGCCGTTCCGACATATATACTGCGTGCAAAGGAAAGAAGGGTGTGTGCAAAGTTTGAACTCGATAGCTTTAAAACTGAGAGACTAGTTTGCGTAGAAACAGACAGACGGACAGACGGACAGACGGACAGACGGACATGGCTATATCAACTCAGGAGGTGATCCTGATCAAGAATATATATACTTTATAGGGTCGGAGATGTCTCCTTCACTGCGTTGCACACTTTTGACCAAAATTATAATACCCTCTGCAAGGGTATAAAAATAGTTTAATTGTCGTTTGAATTTAAGAAACGGCCGACAAGCAACTAAAAATACTTATATTGATAAGATAAACGCCGGAATACACAAGTTCAATAAGACCAACAAAGAAATACGAAAAAACATGTAAATTTATTGGGAACACGTATTTACATATTGATCTAATCCCTTTGAGCTTAAACACTTTAAAAACAACAGCGGAGGCAAATCCGCATTTGGAATCGGAATCAGATTTGTATACGCATCTATAATAGCCGCCTGAGCTTCGTGTCCCTGGGACAACACATACGATTTCATTCAAAAATATTGACTACATCTAGTTGAACTAAAGCGAATTAGCACTCAAAATTGCAACAAAGTATAACAAAGTGGGTAGCGTCTATCTACGCGGCGCGGGCGTCATTGATGGTGGAGGGAACATGAACCTCCAGACCCTCCATGTCCTTGGACAGCGTGATTTGGCAGCCAAGCCTCGAGGTGTCTGTCAGTTCGTAGGCCAAATCCAGCATGTCCAACTCCTCATCACCGGGTTTATCCGGGAGCTTCTCGAAATCGCTGGTCTTGAAAATCAGGTGGCATGTGGAGCAGGTCAGGGTGCCCTCACAGGCGCCAAAGCCGTCCAGATCCACACTGTTATTGACGACCACATCCAGCAGGGAGTCGCCCACCTTGCCCGATGTCTTGATCTTGTCCCCGTTGGCACGCACGAAGGTTATGTTAACACTGCAAACAGGTAATGGTCAATGTTTGGTCTAAGGTGTGGAATTGCTATTGTTGTGCCCCTAATCAATGAGGGCTACTCACACATCTTTCGTTTTCAGGGCCAATCCCGCCGAGAAAGTGCGCGAGACGATTGGTGATCGCAGGTTGAGGCTGCGAAGCGCCAATCTAGAGGCAGTTCTACAGGTGTTTATGACTAGCATTTTGGCAACGAGTTCTACTCAATCTCTATCTAAGCACTGACCACACGCACCCACTCGTGTCGCTGCGATCGGTTGTTAAATAATAATTGAAATTTTCAATTAAAATTGCGTTGAACGTGAAGAAGGTAGAGTGACCGTTGTGGAACTAACCGAAAATACCATAGACCGAAGAAAATATACCAAAATACTGAAATATAACTTCCACCTCTATTCAGCTCCAGACAGCCTGGCAACCCTGTGGGCCAAAACAAGAAGATAGGAATAGAATAAATTAAATTACGTTTTAAAAGCTAAACAATGGGTGTGTTAGACAATGTGGCGAACTATTTCACAGGGGAGACGTCCCGGAACAAGAACTCATCCATAATCGCTGGCCTGCTGGTAAGGATACACCAGCAGACAATGGTCGCCCACCTGACTGTGCAACTTTTTCTTATTAGTTTTTCGCAGGATGGTGGGTCCTAATCGATGCCATGTCGATTGATGGAAATCACCAGATTACCACAGGACATGTCTTCATCGGCATCTTCGGCACCATCAGTTTCTGCATGGTGAACGCGGTCAAAGGGGAGCACGTAAGAGAAAAACACTTTGTATAGGGCCCACAAAATGACTCACTCCTTTTGTTTTGTGCACAGATCTCGGAGGAGAACTCATCGGAGTCTGGCGCCAGGATAGCCAAGATCTGGCTGCTTGTGGGCTTCGTGATGGGCTTTGCATCCATTATAGCCGCCGTCTGGGTGATGATTGATGACTTCATCAACAACGGTATGGGATTACCCAGGTTTTGTGATACATAAGATTTATAACGATAAATAATTCGCCACAGATAAGAAAGATGGCTGGTTTGGAGTAGCCTTGCTGATGCAGAACGTCTTCATCCTGTTCGCCAGTTTGATCTACAAGTTCGGTCGCAACGAAGAGGAGTGGAACGAGTAGAGCTTCCAATCAACACTTTGCAAAAGGGAACGCTTCTTTTAGTATCTAGAGTCATACGTACATATTCAGGAGTCCCAGGAGTTGATGCCAGAGGCAGGGGACACCATCACTCCCACAGCCTGACCCCATTCAAATGCATAACTTGTACATCTCTGTTTCCAATCGGATTCAAAGGAATCGGAACTGGTGAAGCTATAAGGGATTTCCTTACTTCTGATTTCGCCACTTTGAATCGGAATGGAGCGGAGAATAGGGCCTATAATCTCATTTATACTAAACATAATAAACGACAAGTCACTTGCGTTAGGCCACCTTTGAGCTGTTATTTATTTTCAGGCGGAGAGCGTTGTGAGTTGAAAGAAAACGATCACCCAAAGTCGCCCGCCGCCCCGACTACATCTACAAGGATAGTGACCGTTAAGAAGGAAGACATAATCGCTTATTAAGCTTGTGCATCGTACGCGTCAATGGGACACTCGTGCTCGTTTTGCAGGCACCACTGCGGCTGCATGGCCTCCGCACCCAGACCGTTGTCCACCAGCCGTTGGCGATGGAGCAGCAGACGGGACTCGGCTTCGCGCCAACCCCCGGTTGGATTCGACCACAGACGCTCGGCCAATGCACTGGCTCTCGGCCAGAAGCGGTTGTCCAGCGTGTGCTCGTCGATCTGCTCCGACCAAATGGCTGCCTCTGCGCCCAGGACATGGTGTTCGTAGTCGCCAGCAATGGATTTCAAACTGTTGTCGTACACCTTTTGCCAGCCGATGTAGGGAGAGCACCAATTGTTGCCATCGGTAACCCAGCCAGCTCCTCCACAATCGAAATACAAGGCGTCATAGTTGGACACAATGATCTTGTAGCCCCGCTCCAAGATCTTCTTCACCTTGGGATCGACTCCTGTGGTCCAGATCTGAATGATGTAACGCTCCGGGTTGAGATACTGGTCGATGAAGGGCTCTTCGGTGAGTCCGCTGGTCCACAGGATGATGGGCGTGTGCGTTCCATTGGCCACCTTGTCCACCCTACCGAGGGCCTCCGTCTGGAAGTGTCCCCACAGGCGCATAAAGTCGGCAGTCTCCAAACCCCAGCTCTGCTTCTTCATCCACTCCTGGATGGGCTTGCTGCTGTTCCAACAGTTGGTGGACACCTCATCACCGCCCATGTGGAAGACGTCTGGGTTGAATTGCTCGTACATGGTGCCGTAGATGTCCTCCAGGACGTCGTACATCTCGTCGACAGTGGGATCCAGCTGTCCGCAAGGTGGCTCCACGCAGAAAGACTTCCATGGCTGGGCATTGAAACAGGCGGTCATGTTCTTGTGCTGCCATCCCTCACCCACATGGGCAGGTGCATCAAACTCAGGCATCACACGGATACCTCGCACCCGACCGTACTCCACAACCTCGGCCACATCCCGACGGGTGTACACTTGGCGCTGGGAGTAGGCTCCTAGTTTATGCAGTTCCGGTCGCTTTTTCACCTCCAGGGGGAAACTGTGGGAGTCTGTGATGTGCCAGTGGAAGGTGTTCAGCTTGACCAGGGCCATGCCCTCTAAAAGGGAAGAAGGATAATCATTAAGCTGCTCATATAGATACCCCTCTTCTGCCATTATCCTTAACCAATGCCTTACCCAACGTTCGCTTAATGGACTTCACGGAGTAATAGTTACGGGAGGTGTCCAGAAGCAAGCCACGCCACTTGTATACCGGAGCATCGCTGATGGAGGCATTAGCAGTCACCTGGACCTCGCGGCGTATGTCATCGTAGACAATCAACTGGGCTAGGGTCTCCAGGCCATTCCGGGCGCCAAAGAAGTTGGCCGCCGTGATGTTGGCCAGCACATGACCCGAGGCATCTGTATCGATATCCAGAGTATAGCTCTCGTCCGTTTCCAGGGTGAGTCTGGCCGGAGTCGGCTCATCCGGGGTGTTGATGTTCACAGACATACGATAGCCACCTAGAGCGAGGATCTTGCGATTGGGGATTTGGGCGTCCAGCATGTCCATGAAACGGTCTTCAGCCGCCCGCCACAGCTTCTCTTGGCGCGCAGTGCCATTGACATTGAAGTCGATGAAGGAGATGTCCACCTGGCGCATCAATGTGTCGAGACGCACTGCACCCGTGGGCTTGGGCCACAAGGTGCCGATGGAACTGCCGCAGAAGAGCCGGCACACGGGCATGCTGATTGCCTTGGCAAAGTTCTCCTCACTGAGCTCCACCTTCTGGCAGACACCATTCCGGCACTCAAAGCCGTAAACCAAGTCGCTGGGTTGGGGAAACGAATTAAAGAGAAAGTTAATGACCGATCAGGGGTATATAACATGTATACTATATAGTTTTTAACACTTACTCCGAGCTGTGCGCCGTAAGTTGAGCCACCAGGGCCAGGAGCAGGGCCACTCCTAGTGCAGTCCGCTTCATTTCGTCAACCTCAGCACAGAAACTCTCAAAGTCAACTGGCGAATGCTTCGGGAATAATAATTAAAAAGATTGAGTATTTCAAAACAAGTTTTAGCCGCCGAGCAAAGAGCTCATTGTCCGTCCCGAAGAGTCAACCCAAGTAAACAAAGAACTGGATTTTCAGGAAGTTCACTTTTGAATACCCTCTCTCTAAAATTAAGCAACATTTTGAAAATAATGTGGATTGACTGAACAACACAATTAAAATATATTTTTTCGTTTGTTTTTTGTTGTTATTTTTAATATAGAAAAATAAATTTATTTAAATTTAAATTTTTCGATATTTCCTAAATTAACCCCTATGCAATAAAAACGTTTTCGTCCAGTATTTGACAAGCAAGTGAAATTCTCCGGTTATCAACCCTTAGATAAGGATGAATCCGGTTCTTGAAGCCAGTAAAAAGCCAGTTAATAAAATTTGCTTACGATAATCCACTGTCGCACAAATATAAGTTATTCCAAATCAATTCCAACTGAACTTGGGTGCTGTTCAAAGCAGACTAAAGCTATGGCTTCCCTCTGTTGGCAATTTATCAGCCCACCAGCATCGATTCTGGCCAACTCACACGCAAGCAATCGTCTAAGTGGGTGAGCAATAGAGAATGTCAAGACGAGATTACATAGTTTTGCTTTTTAATTATCTTTCTTTATTTTTCCCTGTGCTGGGAGTCGTATTTTTAAGTTCTAAGCCAATAGCAGCAGGCAATCTGGTTTCATAAATCTCCTGGAATGAATATTAGACCACAGAAATATGGACTCTCAATGAGATTGTAGGTAAAGAAATTTATAGCGCCAAATTATTGATTGTACTTTTTTCATTAAGAAGTTATTTTTATTGTCTAATCTAAAGTTATAATTCTAGGTAGGATTCACGCCCTTCAGTGTTAGGGTGTTATCCTCATAGACTTCCAAAACGTCGGCCAAATGCTCGTTATCTCTGGGTTTCTTGAACTGTCGCTTCTTGTTAGCTGCCTTCTTGCGCTTGGGAACGGGTTTCTTGAGGCCATGATCCTGCATGGAGCGAATGCCCTGCTTCTCGAGGTACTCGTCGATTTTGGCATCGTCCATTGCATCAACCGTAGCGGAACGCCATAGCTTCTGGAATTCGTCGTCCACCTGCAGGACAATTAATATATAATTACTTTTAAAGAATTGGGATTAGGCTACTTAAATCATTTTATGAAATATGAAATAATTGATATATTTAAAGCCTATAAAATGGTAGAAAGCTAAATGTTTTTTACCGCTTAAATTTATATTATTCATTTATAACAAAATGTAAGATTGTTGATATTGCTTTTTTTTGGCAATATGCAACACATTTCTATTAGGAAGTCAAATAATATGTGCTTACCGAAAAGTTAGCTGTCCTATCGTTGTAGAATAATATCTTTTTTTTGTCAATTGGTCTAATTATAAAAAGTATTTCGGCAGCTCTGTTTTTCAGGACTTTTTCGCAGTGCGGCAGGGATTCCTGGACATCATCCAGCAAGATGCCTCCCAGACCCTTCAAATCGTGCTGTTTAAGAAGTCGCATCAAGGTCTTGCCATCTTTGATTTTGTACACTGGCTTGAAACTGAATTTGGTGCCACATGGACTTGCTTCCACCTTGGGATTGTTGTGCAAAGCCTCGCTAGAAAGCCACTAGAACAGAGAAAGACTATTAATATCACTCTGAGGAGTATATAATACGGCAGCTAACGTTCTTCACAGATTGACCAATGTCCAGTTGGTTTGTCTCGTCCAGAATTTCCTCAATGGTCAGTGGATGATCGTCGCCGTCCTGATGACGTGTGCGCATGAACTTCACAATCTTGGCAAGCACTCCAAATCGGTACTGGGAGCTGCCCGACATGGTTTTGTATCTGGGAAAGGATTGAGAGGTATCCACATGGTAAGTACCCAATCCTGAAACAGGGAAATGCTCTTAAGGAACTCACGTGGACGCATCCAGCTTGGGAGCTGTGGGCGGACGCATTTTACGCTTGGATTCATCGCTGGGCGGCGGTGGAGCTGGTCTATCGGGCTTGGACTTCTTTTCAACGCTATTTTAAAAGGATAATTCATCATTCTCAAAAATCAATCTTCATCAGCGGGGCCTCATGTCTGCTACTCACGTGGGCGTGGCCATCGCCCTCTTTTTGAAGGCCTCGCGCTCGCGAAGCAGTGCTGGATCCATGTTTAATGTTTTTTATTATCTTCCTTATAATAAACCTCAATATTTTGTCCCGTTTCGTAAAATCAACAATTCACAAATCTAAACAAAATCCAAGTCAGCTGTCTGTGGAACTATGATTTACCAGGGCTGTGTAGGTAATTTTATATTAGAACTAGTTCTTTTTATGCCCTTTCAAATGAGTCCGTTTGTTTTTGAAAATGTAAAATTTTATAAAATATTTATTTATTTTATATCGACATTTTCCCATACTTTAAAAAGCATTATGTATTTTGGAATCCAAAATAATTTTGTAACCGTTAAAGTTCCTTTTTTTGCGATTTTACTAGCAGTTCCCATATATAAATCAAAAACACCAAATTTTTTATTTTTTTCATCTAGTAATATTTATTAATGGTCTTACACAGTAAGGTATTGGTTAAATTTAGTTTATGAAATATCATTTACGCACGGCTAAATCGTGAGGTTACGAGAAAGAGTCAATGCTCTTGACACATTCATTATGGTTGAATTCATTGCTTTGCTGGATCTCGTCGGAATACGTTAGTAATGGTACAAGTTTCACAGAGTTCGTTTCCGTATTACGGGTAGATTCAAAAGTCCCCTAAGCGGTTTGGATATGCATATATACGATATTAGGTATATACTATATATATTAAGCATTGCACTTTCGTTGGATCCGTTTAAATGTCGTAAGGGTCTTTCTACTAGTGCTCTGTACGAGAGCCCACTTGAGTTTCTTCAGTTAGTCAATGGTAGTCAACGGGTGTGGTGAATTCGTTGGCTGTTTGTTCACCCGTCTCCGTTCGCCGGTTCCGGTCTGCGTTCTCCAGTCCTCGTGGTTATTGTGGCATTCCGTTTAAGAGTGTTCTGGTACTGAGCGGTTGTTTGGTGGTGGCTGTTTGGTTTTTCGTTGTTGGTTGGTTGTTGCGTGGTGGTCAGTTCAACTGTTTTTATCGGACTGTATTCTCAAGTTAGTTACGTACTCGTACATTGCGTTCTCTGTAAGTTCTTGGTTGTCAGTGGGTCTGTGGAGATAGAAAGATAAAAATGGTTTGGCTTATTATGTTCGCGCTCAGTGGCGGCATAGATATCGTCGATGGCCAACCGGTGCACGTTGTAAGTTCTAATCGATTGGTCGAACAGAACTGTCTGCACACAAGCGTTAGGCGAATGCGTAATTTAAATCATTAATAGGATTCAGAATTTGCACAACTACTTACCTCGAACCACGGCATACACACTTACTCCCAATTTGGCTACATTAAAGGATACGGGATTTTTGCTTTTTTCCACTAGGTACTTACACTTAATTTCGGCGCACCCGCTTACGTCCAACGTCATCGCCATCGGATCCACTGCGCTCCTCCGCCTCCATGACCTAAAATAGGATTAAAATGGATTACAATTCTTCCTATTTATGCTTAGGCGAACTATTGTTTAAATTTGTAATGTTCCATGTTTCTGTTTTCTTCTGAACAACTTTAAAGATGTTAATTTTTATGTTTTTATCCAAAACAAATTTGCAGAAATAAAAAATTTGTTGTTAAAAAATACGCTTAGAAGCTTGCAAGTCAAGTTAAGGGTCTAAAAATTGCATACCTTTATTTTAGTACCGCATATTTCTGCACCGTTAAGGGTGTGAATTGCCATTTGCGCACTCTCAGACTCTGCATACTTGACGTAACCGCAATTCTTGTTGGGCAATAGATATACGTCAATCAGTCCCGACCAGCAGGAGAATATGTTTTTCAAGATCGAATGCGGCAAATTCTGAATTTATAAAAAACAACGTTCATAACTAATGCCAATTCGTCACAGTACAGTGGTACCTACCGCCGAGAGCACGATAAACAGACGCTGGGCCACCTGGGCGTCGGGCGAGGCCAGTGGCTGAGTTGGGGGCAATGGCACATTGCAGATGGCATCCTTTTTGGTTCGCTCTAAAATGGAAGACCACATTATTATATTAAACAGACAGCAACATTAAGCAAGAGTTTAAAGCCCAACAAATTTTGGAAAATAAACGAAACAAAACATTTTAATAAATGGCTATAGGTGATGGCGTGGTCTATAACCCTTAATAGATTTAACTCGCGTACTGTCTATGAAGGAAGTGTCCATTCGAGCCGAGCTCATTCCATTGACTTTAACAATGATGCGTTCGCCCATCGGATATTCCAGGCCATGTAGTTTATCCCTAAAGAAAAAATATATTAAAGCCTTGATAATGAAGGATTCTAGGGCTAATTTTACTTGGCGTAGATGGCAGCTTCAGGGTTGTCGTATACAACCAAGGCCTCATTGGTGCGCGGTCCATCTGTAAAGTTAGTAAGAAGTTGATTTTAGAAATACAAATTAAATTAATTAATAAGAAGACGTTACTTACGTTCCCGCATGATTTGGCAGTAATCCAGACCGGGTATAATATCAAAGAGCCGCCAGAGCTGATCCTGGTTAACGCAGTTGCTCACGTTGACCTCAAGGCACGAAGGCTGGGCCACAGGGACATTCTGCATGCGCAAAAAGGCCGACATGTCGTTGTTCTGCGATGCATTCCAGTCGTTGTTGTAGTTGTTTCCCCCACCGCTGCTATTACTTCCTCCATTAAAATTGGAATTGCCACGTCCTGATCCGCTATACAACGGATTTTCCTCGGAAGGACGACCATACTGGTCCCGCTGGGTGCGAGTGGAGCCCTTCGGCTCGGCAAAGACGGCCTTATACTTGGCGGAGCAGTTTTCAAAGGCCACTGCTGCATAGTAGAACCTGGCAATTAATATAACATTAGTCAGGCCTGAAAAGTTAGTAACGCTGCATTTGCCACGCACTTGGTGAAGCGGACATAGCCGAAGCCTTTGGGATTGCCATTGTTCTTCTCTTTGACAATGGTCACCGTCTCCACTTCACCCCACTGGGCGAACTCTTCGCGAATGTCCTCCTCGGTGGCCGTTTTGGGGATCACAATGAACAGCCTAACGTACTTTTCCTGCTCATTTTCTGATTTATTAGATCCCTGATTGCGACTGCAAAAAAAAAAAGAAGGGGTGAGGCCACGTTTAACAGCATTCCAATAAAGTACTCATACTTGGCAGCCACCAGGACTTTAAGGGTGCGATCCATCTTGCCAATGGTCTTGCCGTTCATCTCCTCCTGCGCCTTTGCCGCATCGGATGTCTTGGAGAACTTAACGTAGGCAATGCCCTTATTTTCCTGCGTGTGCTTATCCTTTACCACCCAAATGTCCTCGATTTCGCCGTACTGCGAAAAGGCCTCACGGAAATCCTCCTCAGTATGCGCTTTATTGCAAATTATGAACAGACGCGACATCGGCGGATCGTCGTCGTTGGAGTACTCTTGGGCACCACGTCCGCCACCGCGAGATTGAGATCGATAGTCTGACATGATTCTGGTTCTTCTGCTGATATTCTTTTTTTCCGCTGCAATTTTCGCACTTCACCTCTTAATCCCGTTTTTTGCCGCTTTGATGGCGTATACACAAAAAATGTATGACCTTCCTCAATTTTTGTCAAAATACTTTATTTTAAATATAGCAAAATGCGGATATTCACACTGGGTCTTTAATACTTCATTTTTGTGTCAAATTTCAAATATTCCTGGACTGAAAATGAAATAATAATAATTTGTTTTAATGATTAATCCGGGAAAATCCACACTAACTAAAACTGGGTAAAAGGGTAATTGTTTCCACAATACCATTTTGTTATTGATTTAAGGAGATAGTAAGATCATAAATCTCAAAAGGACCAACCTCTGTTAGGTAATATTAATAATATAGATAAACCCCCTTGGTGACAGCTGGTAAAAATTCATTCTACCTGCGAGTCAGCTAATTCTACCTGAACTATAAAATGTCTTTAAAAACCATTTGTCCACGCCTTCAACACTTCAGTTACAATTAGCCATTCGACATGAAATTACTTGTGAATATGCTTATTTTCCTCTCATTTTCGCAATTAGTTTTTGCTACTATGGCTGAAATGCGAAGGAAATCGCACACTGAAGAATTCGAAGGAATGTCAGCTTTGTTCAGAGCCATGTCTTCCTCGCCAAACGATGGATACACCTACAATTGGAGCGTAGTGTCCTTTTCAACTGATGACCAACCAGATTCAGGATTAAATTGCACTGTTTTGTATCTGGATCAGTGCACGTCTTGGAATAGATGCCGCCAGACATGCCTCAAAACGGGAGCTACCAGCTACAGATGGTTTCATGATGGTTGCTGCGAATGCGTGGGCGAACATTGCATGAATTATGGCATAAACGAGAGCAGGTGTCGACTGTGTCCTGAACCTGGATTCGATGATGAGGAGGATTGAGGAGTACTTTTGCCAGCTTGAAGCATTATTTAAATATATTTGTATTTGTAAATTAAATGTTACTTTAATAAACAAAACTAATTTAAATCTATTTTTGATTTTTTAACGGATTTCAATAAAAGGGTATTTAAAATTCAGTGTTGGAAAATTCCATTTTAGAATACTTGTTAGATGCACGTGCTCTTGACACCCTGGTTTCAAATCGTTTGCCATCCCTGGTTGTTGTCATTCGAACTCCACGTTGTTTTGGATTTGCACTTCTTTTTAGTTATTTTTTGATTAATTAATCAAAGCCAAATGGGTCGCAAGTTTCAGAATAAGAAAAAGAAGGCTGCTCCTCAGCTGGAGATAGTGCCGCTGGATGAAAACCCACCTTTGCCACCGCAGCGCTCCTCAGACGAAGTGGTGCCTAAAAAGGCAAGAACTGAGACTTCTTTAAAGCCACAATTTCGTTATTAAAAACTTCTTTTGCTCTACAGGAAAAGTGGGTGAACAAGCAGCGAGTGCTGGTCTTCTCCGCTCGTGGTATTAGCCACCGAGACAGACATCTGATGAAGGACATCAAGACACTCATGCCCCACCACCGTCCCGAATCGAAAATGGAGCGCTCCAAAACCTTGTCGGTGGTCAACGAAATGTGCGAGATGAAGCACTGCAATAAGGCCATGCTTTTCGAGGGTCGTCGGAAAAGGGATCTGTACATGTGGGTGTCCAATACCTCGGGTTCCACTGGCCCGTCGGCCAAGTTCCTCATTGAGAACATCCACACAATGGCTGAGCTAAAGATGACCGGAAATTGCCTGCGAGGATCACGTCCACTGCTCTCCTTTGACTCCAAATTTGATGAGCTGCCGCATCTTAAGCTGCTCAAAGAGCTGTTCGTCCAGACCTACGCCGTACCGAATCATCATCCCAAGAGCCAACCCTTCGTGGATCATGTATTCACCTTCACTTACCTGGACAACCGCATCTGGTTCAGGAATTTCCAAATTCTGTCCGAAGATGGTGGTCTCTCGGAGGTGGGACCGCGCTATGTGATGAATCCCGTGAAAATATTCGATGGCTCTTTTACAGGCAAAACCATCTGGGAGAATCCCGACTATGTGAGTCCCGCAAAACAGAGACAGCTTCTCAAAAAATCCGCCAAGGACAGGTATGTGAACCGAGTAGAGCAGAAGGTCAAACATGAGGCCACCCGACCCGTGAGAGCATACGATGGCGTGGATAACGAGGAAATCTTCGAGGATGACGATCCTGTGGAGACGGCAAAGATTTTGGCTGCGATAGCCAAGAAGAAGAAGGAGGAAGCTGCCAAACAAACACCGAAGTCGGCGCTGACAAAGAAGATCAAGGAAAAACAACTAAAGGCCATCAAAGAAGTGATCGATAGAAAGAAGGCCAGAACTGTTAAACGTGTGAAAAAGGTTTAAACACCTCAATTTTACATTTAGATACAAAAACGATTAAACTTTATAAATACGTTTACAAACTGTGCATCCTAAGTTTGAATATATCAATAGACAAGATTACCAGATATTATTAGTCCCACTGTTTTGCTTTGTACGTCGCGACGGAGTTATGCATGTTATGTTTATAAATATTAACATCCTAATGAGATGTGCGTTGAGTTTCGGGAGTTTCTGGGGCTGGAATACATAAGCCAAAGCTGCCGGCTGCCTCTTAGAGCTACTCTGGCGACATGGGAGCCACTTCGGGATCGGATTGGGGGAGTCGGGTTATACTGAATGGCTGCTTGTTGATGGGCATCATCTGGACCACCTCGATGGGCGGCTCCTCGCCAGGCTGCAGGGGGTCCTCGCCTACGAGTTTGGCTAGATTACTCTGTGCCCAGCGACCAGAGCGTCCATTTAAAGTCTTATCCTCGCAGACGCACAGGAATAGAGTATCTACCACCATCTGTCGAAAAGGCATCAGTTAGACTTCGTCTTAAACATGATAAAAAGGAATTCCTTACCTCAAACAGTGATAGTATAATATGAGCAATAAAGAAGGAGAATATTATAATGATAATGACGGGGGCCATGTAAAAGTTTAGACCGGGCATGTCCTTGAGCAAAACGATACCAATCAGGCCGGAGAGCGCGGCCACCACAACCTTTCCCAAGAAAAGGATGAAATCGCCAACGCTGTTGATGGTCGCCACTTGCAGAACATTCGTGGCCATGGCATTCCAAGCCTTAAAAATAGACAATATAACTTGTATAGTTTAGCAGAAAAGGTTTTACCGATTTAAAACTTACAATGCCTGCCGCGGGACAAAAGTTAATGGATTCAATAGCCACCACCGTGTAGGCATTGTGATTTAAGAAGCGAATGAACTTCTCCAGAAGCCAGAAGCCACAAATGCAGCATTTCAAACAGCAGGCGGCACACTCCGATCCCTTATCCTCGCCCTTTTTCAATCTGCATTAAAGAATTAAATTAGTAAAAAATAACAACACAAAGCAAACAAAAGACAAAACTTACTTGGCATACAAATATGTGAGTATCAGGCGGGGAATCTTGAAAATAGTGATTATAAATGATCCCTTGGCGACCGTACCCAAATGATACTTGATCAGTTTGCCAATGGCGTAAGTCGTGGGTGTGGTTGTCGGCTTTTGAAAGTACCAGAAGGCCACTGCGGCTGCCAATGCAAATTGCTGGCAGGCGAAAATAAACTCCACAGTCCATATAAGACCCACCACATAGATCCAGAACATGCTGCGAAGGGCTCCAGCATCGGCATATTCTACACGCGAGTTAGCTTAATAAAGAAAACATATAATTATTTCTCTGAAAACATATTTGCTTTTATCTAGGAAATGGTTTATTTTGTATATACACTTTATATCCACAAGTGGTGAAGATAGAAACACAGAAATATGTACACAAGAGTAAAGTTCTGTGCCCTTATCAAATATCACTTACTTATTCACCAAATCACGTAATAACACAACCACAAAAATGCAAAAAGTATTTGATTTAGATTATTTCGAATTGAGCTGCTTTAAAGCCCTGCAGATAATGGGTTCAAATATTTAAAAGTAGATATGACTACTTACTTCTTATATCATCGGCATTGGTGTTGTTGGGCAAAAAAAGGGAATTGGTTGGCAGAGGTTGCTGATGGGCCTTTGAATTGTCAAACGGAGCAATGGGACTCTGGCCAGGAGAGCTGGCTGTGGCCAGGCAGATAACCACTGCCACCCAGAAGCTTAAAAAGGCTATAAGCACAATAAAAGCTATTAGCGGGGCAATCAAAAGTCCGGGAAGATTCATCATGCACTGGCCAGCTTCCTCAAAAAGGGCAGACAAGCCAGACAGTTTGTTCTTCAAAAAGTATATCACTACCACCAGGATTATCTGTAGAAAAAGTGTAAATAAGTAACTAGTAATAAGATATTTAATAAAGAATCTTACCATAGTTATGGTGGCCAAGACAGCCAAAGTTAAAACTGCCTGCTGATTGCGCACATACTCTTCCAGCAGGGAGTATTGCGTGTTATTGCCAGACTTGTGTTTTATGTTATAGTAGGCATACCACAGCGCGACGGTGAGTGCCACACTGGCCACTATAACCAGGACACAGATGACCCAGGAGACAATGCGCGACAGCCAGTGCATCATGGTCACAAGGGCAATGGAAATGACTAGAGAAACAATCTATTAAGATTATGTTTGATGGAGAGTTAGATTTCTCTTACGCAAGGCCAGTCCACAGACCATGGCAATTATGTGCCAGGTGGAGTAAATATCACCAACGAACTGCTGGGCCACATCCCAGTTGTTGAGCATGTCGTAGTAGTTCTGAACCTTCTCTCCAGTGCCCTTGGGCACACAACGATGGAGGACAGGAGCACTGTGAATGAATAGCAAATGTGTGAATTAAATTAACATTTGATTTTGGTAATACCATCAACTCACCTCTCATGGACGGGTAAACTGGGACAGGGACCCAGGAAATTGAAGGTACTGGAACTTTCTCCCGCCGTATTCAGTTGCTGCATGTTGTAGTCGTATTTGCAGAGCTGAGTGCCCGTTTGACTGTAGTAATCCAGCAACTCTTTTCCTTTAGTCATGGTTTTGGCGGGACACGACTTGACACATATTTTCAAGGACTTTTTCAGCTCCTTGACATCGAAGTAGAAGAGCTCTGGTTTGTCGAGGGTATTCAGGCCGGACAGAGGAAAGCCCTGGAACTTCTCGTTGTGCTTGACGCCACAGGTGTTGCCAAAGGAATCGTAGCCATTGATGATGCGCAAGGGATTGCCGTAAACAAACGAGAATATGGCGATCACAATCTGTAAAAGAAGATTAGGGGAATTAAAGTGGTTCATATAAGCAGATAGATCATAGTTAAAGCTGCCAACGCCCCATGAGCATGGCATGTCAAGGGGCATTATTATTATTATTATAATCGCTTTGGTGGACATACCCATGCAAATGCTTGACATGGAAATGCTTTTGGGGGAGGTTTATGTCCTGCTGTTATTGATTCATTTAATGGGGATTCATGTGTGGCTTCAGCTTTAGTATAAGCCTAAGCTAACCCTGAATGTTAAATCATCGCTTTCATTAGCGGAATTAACAATTCCGCTCATGTGCCAGCGATGACGACACGAGTATGAGACATTTTCAAGTAACAAGTAGCCGCTTTTTCCTCCCGCAAAATCGCTCACACACAAACAAAGAGAAGCGTTGCGCAGATTGATCTCTTAACTTTCACTTTTCCTATACACATTTCTATATATCTCTACATGGTATAATATCATGGATTACTTACCAAAAACAGCCAGAATATAATGTAAATAGCCAGCCAAAAGGTGTCCGTGCAGGACCGGTATTTAGGCCTATTGTTTTGCGCCTCCCCCTCGCCATCCTTGCTCTCCGCACAACCCATTTTGCACTTTTTATACTGCTAAGTAATTAGCGATTTTAATTCCTTTTATCACTATGGGCTTATATCTATTTTTGAGTATGTTGAGCCACTTGTTTATTCTTATTTTGATTCACAACCGATGAACAACAACAACGCCTATTGTAGTCCTCCAATGTTTGGTGTGACCAGTCGATGAGTGGCCTGATAATCCCAAATATTTATGGCTTAAAGCATTGGATGTGCGCGTAATTTAAAAATTAAAAGGTATTTTTAGCGAATGTGGGGTAAAAAATATCTACAAATATTTAAGAGCATTTTTTTTATCAATACTTTTACCAATAAGGCTGATTCTGACTTTGCACCCAAAACATCAGATTTTCGAATTTAAAAATATATGTATTGCGGCAACAAAAATGCAAATAATACCACAAATAAATAATGCCGTACTTCGTTAATATCAAATTAAAAATCCTAATAGAATACATTAAAACTTTGAATTTCAGCCCAGTTTTGAATTTTTCCTTACGAAAAAATCATTTTCATATCCAAAATATATTTTTATATATTTAGATGTTTACTTCTGGCCAAGATCAAAGAACCCTCAAGAAGAAGGTAATAAGCTCATCCAGAGTTTTAAAATCCAAGAAAAATCGCCAATACTTAATAATAAATTATTCACATTTATTCAAAGATCGAACTTAATCATTTACTAAAATTACTTCTCTACGCATCCACAACTAACATTAACATAAGAATCGCAATGAACTGAAAAAAATAATATTCGAAAATTGTAGGATCGTTTAAAAACTAATGATTTGATACTTAGGCAATGAATGTGATGTGGTTTGTCTTAAATACTGAGGACTGGCAGTCGCAGATACCGCCGAGTATAACCGGAAGTGTCATTCCAAAATTGTTCCAACATGATGGTAAACAATTTTCGAACAAGATTTCGTTATTTGCACGATCGACCTAACTAAGGTTATATATTCCCTACTTATAGCTAACATATAGTGGTCTAAGCTAAATCATGGGGCTCTATGGTAGAACTCGTCTCTTCGCTAATCTCATGGTGAAGCTATTTGGCCGACTCTGTGATCACTTCTTGACCGTCACCTGGATGCCGCCCTTGACCACCGCCTCTGCGGGTGGTTGGCCGAATCTCCGGCTCTGGTTGAGGTTGCTCTTGCGCCGGATACTGATTTTTCCGGGGGATGGAGCGGGAGCGGGAGCGGGAGCAGGAACAGGCACTGGTTCACTCGCACTCCTCTGCGTCTCCTCATCCTCGGCCGGTGGTCTATACGTGCGGATTCCGGAGTTGGATCTCACCGGAAGTAGGGTCACCAATCGATGCACACTGGGTTCCGTGCTACTGGGAGCGAACTGAGAGATCTTAAGCATCTCTTCGTAATTCAGTGGGTCCACCACCTCCACTTCCGCCTCGCCAATCACAGGGATAGCAGCTCCTAGAACTTCCGAGGAGCCATCCTCTAGAAAGCTGGCCATGGGTTTAATAAAAGGTTCCCTCTCCACGGGCAGGATTGTTTCCGGGACAACTAATGGAACTTCCGTGGTTGTGGAGGTGAGAATGGGTCGCCTGACTTCCTCTTTCGGTGCCTGCTTCATTTTGTTCTGCGAAAAGGGAGGGAACTTGTTGGGAACACTAGGAGTAATGCCCAACTTAGAAGCCAATGTGTCGAAAATCAACGAGATGTCCTGAATGTTGCTAGCATTGTTAATTCTCGTCTTGATATCACTCAAAGTTAAATTCTCCGATTTGTCAATGTCCTCCGATACCCATGCCTGCAGAGTCTTATTGAAGACCTTTCTCATATTCGAATTATGTCCAAATCCCTGAGCCGAAGAACTGTTCACAAACTCCCACTTTGAATGCGAAGGAAACAAGTTGGAGTCGTCCATCATAGTGGGTCGTTCACTTGTTGTGCGGATGCGATTCCTTTTGGTGGTCCTGGGCTCCTCCGTTGTGGTAGTTGTAGTTGTTGGTGTTGTTGTCGTAGTATCCTCCTCTAAAGTTTCATTGGATAGAATCGAGGAAGGGGTATTCCTCTGCAGAATGATCTCCTTAAGGTTCATAAAGTTCGGCTTGGAGTGGCTCAAGCTGGGTGACTTCTGGGTCTCCTCTTCCTCTGGTTCTATCCTGGATTCTATCGGCTCCTCTGTTGGTTTCTTAGTGGCAGTGGCATTATCTTCTTTAGGCAAGTTAAGTAGTTCCATAAAGAATTCTCCGATGGTATCAGCTAAAACAGAATTATCCGTTGTTTTAAGGGAAGGTAGCGATGGAGTTTTGGTTGGCTTCGGTGCGCTATTAACTGCAATCTTTGAGGGCGCTGTCGTGACCTCCACTTTCTCCTCTTTAATTACTCGCTTTGTGGTGATCTCATGTTGCTCTGTCTTTACTTGCTGATCTTTCTTCTCCTGAACAACCTTCTTTTCCAGCGTTTGATTCACTTCCTTAATTTGCTGTTCCAGTGGCTCCTTCTTCGCAGGGTGCTCCTTTTTCTCCACCTTCTCCTGCGGCTTCTTGGCAATGACTCCCCCACCCAAATGCTCGAATCTCTCGTTGCTAACATCCAGATTAAAGGGCAGTTTCTCACCCGTTCCTATCGTAGGATCAATAGGCTTAAATGGGGGAATGATAACATCATCGATGAGGGGCACGGGCAGAGGATGTGGTTCCACAAGGGCTCCTCCCAAACGTTCTATATTCTCAGTGCCTGGCATAAAAATGGGACTGCCAAAGTTGTGGTAGAAAAGCATGTCCTGATCCTGTGGATGCTGTCCATGATTTGGTTTTGGTTCCTGTACTCGCAGTCCCGGGTTGAGGAATCCAAGACTATAGGGATCAATGGTCACTGGAGCCACGGCTGCTGTCGGAGGAGTGGGATTATCTCCAATGAAAGGCAATTCAAATTCATCAACCCTCCGCTGGGGAATGTGATTTACAGTTGGAGTGGTTCCTCCAGGTAAAGTTTTTGTGGGAAAAGCGGGTGGTGGACCGGGTAGAAGTTCCGGAACCTCTCTATGCATTGGTCTCCAAGGTTGCGTATCCAAAATGGGGAAGGTTGTGAATAGATTGGCATCCAATTTGGGCAGAGATCCTCCTTGACTCGAAGTGGGAGTGCTCACCGAGGGATAGGTGAAAGTGGTGGTGGTAGTTGTGGTGGCTCTAGTGGTACTAGGTGGTGGTGGAGGGGTAGTCGTTGAAGTGGTAGTTGTAGTAGTAGCCTCCGTGGTTGTCGTAGTTGTTGTTGTAGGTTTAGGAGTAGTCGTAGTGGTGGTTTTTCTGGTAGTAGAGGTGGTGGTTCTCTTTGTCGTAGTAGTTGTTGCCTTGGTGGCCTTAGTGGTTGCCCTGGTGGTGCTGGTGGGACTTCCTGTGGACACCTGTTGTGGCAGCACGGTCGTTAACTTCTCAATGCTCGGTTTTTTGGGCTTCACCCTCAATGAAAACGGTGTCACTGCAATGGCCTTGGGTGGCAAGGTACTACTACTAGTGGCCTGATATGCCCGAGTTGGTGGAGTCTTCTTCCTGGCAATATCCGCATCCGTCTTGGTGATTTCAAAGGAACCCTCAAAAGATCCTTGAATTACCGGAGCATTCTCCACATCAATATCAGGCTCCTCATCGGCGGAATGGCTGCGCAAAAGGGGATTCTTCGGCTTGGGTGTGGTATTGCCTCCTAAGGGTTTTGGATGAATTGAAGCTGGTGCTGGAGTACTGCCCTTCTTCATGAGTCGTTTTTCCAATTGGGTTTGACTAGTGGGCACCGTTTGCTGTAAAGGAATTACTTTTATTTTATAGGTTCTCATATAAATAGGTGTCTTTTCTTACGGCTTCCTTTAATATAGCTGCAGATCGCACCACCTGCTCATCCATTATACGTTTAATCTCCACAGACTCTGTATCCAAACGCAATGAACGATATAGAGACTTTGTGGCAGAAGTTTCCAGGAACAGCGACTCCTTAATGTACTCCTCTACGCTTAGAATATTTCTGATATAAAAATAAATATATTAAATGTTTGATTTACTGATGATACCACTTAAAAACTTACTGTGGTAGTTTACGGACATCAAGGAACACTCGGAATGAGACCTTTATCAGCGGACCCTCTCCAAAGCCCCAGACGTCAGTGCGAATTGGTTGCAGTCCATTATCCATCATAGATCGCTCCACAAACCTTTTGTAGAAATCAATCTTCTGCTTGTAGGTGGTGGTGTGATTGTATTTCAGGCCCGTGGAGAAGAGATCTCCTTTGGCAATGCGGAAGGAACCCTCGAAGCCCATAACAGCTGTAAACGAAGTAAGGGATTTAGTAGTTATCCAAAAAATATATATCTCGAGTACTTACGATCCTCCAGCGTGGTCTTGATCGAGCTAAAGTAGAAGGCCAGTCCGGCAATGGAGATGACAGCCAGCAGGACTATAAAAGCGGCCGTGGTCAGGATAATGCTGAAGGATCGATTCTTGGGGTATTGAGTATGTGTCTTGGCCGAGAAGGTGGATGGGGCAATGTTCCTTCCATCCCGCCAGATGCCCCACGTGTTATATCCATATTGACTGTTCAAACTGTGCTCATTTGTGTACGAGGGCTGCTTGTTCATGTGATAGTACGCCCCCAGCTGCGACCTCCGGCCAACTGTGTTCTGGTACGTATAATCCGCGCTCTGCGAAAGAAGATGTCAGATGTTGTTCTTAACTGGGTTTCTAAAGTATGCCAGAATGATCGATCCCGATGGCCACTAATTAGACAATTAGCCGCCAGAAGTCGCACAACTTTCTCGACCCTTCGGCTACTTTCTATCGCAACTTCCAGTCCCCAATCTAGATGACGGAAGTTGGCCTAACGGCCTCACTTTGGTCTCAGTTTGTGCTATCGCAAAGAACAACCGCAAACTTCCCTTTAAACTTTCTTAGCGTTATGTCAGAATCGCTATCACCGGTGAGTACTTGTCATGATTTGTTAATGCATCTCATTAACACTGCTGGGAAAACGCATTTAATTAGCCCGGGGAGTTGGGAGTACGAAGTGGTACCAAGTCATTGCACCTGGTCAGATTCCCAGAATCTGGCAAACTTCCGCAGGTTTCTAGGCACAGTTGCAATCAGGTAATTAGCACTTTCAAATAATTACAGATATGGTTATTTGAAAAATAGAAATAATACCTTCTAAAGAAATAGCAAACTAAGGCGAAATATGATTTTTTTTATCAACAATTAACATCAGTAAAAACAAACTATTATATAATTAATATTTTATAAAATATAGTTTTTTTTCTTCCATCACTTTTTTTTGAAGTGTTTTTTTGTTATTTGTACCATAAACAAGTTCGTTGCTTAAGTCTTTTGATTTGGCATTGACATTGATAAGCAAAAGATTGACATCTAATTAAAAGGCATTGAAGCTAGACTTATACTGATGATTGGAGACTTAAATCAATTGAAATAATTTTGTAATAGCTTTTTTAACGAATAAAATTTTTTTGTCACGACAGGTTTAACAACAAATAATTTTATATTTTAATTGGATATTTGAAGATGTTTTAAATTTCTAGTCTTATTAAAACAATTTATTTTTGAAAGTCATGGAATGTAGAAAAAACAGTTCCAAATGGTAAACTTAACTTTTAATTGGGAAGAATCAATAACTTATGCTCAGCCCACAGGGCTATTAACTCGGCCTCAGCTGTAGGTGCAATTGCTGGGGGAGATCCCTGAGGGGCCTATGGGAAAGTTTGATTGTTTCTTGATTACCATTTAACATTCGTTAGCTGCAGGGCATTTCCCTTGGTTCCTCTTTCTCCCGGGAAGCTCACTTCCTCCGCTTGGCCCCCCTGCTAACCAACTCAGTTGTTGGCCAAATTGTTGGCTTTGGCTCTTTTCTTCTGCGTTCTTCGCCGCCTCTTCTTTCTTTGCTGCCAGAGAAAGTCATTCACCTTTTAGAACGTTCTTCTGTCGTGTTTGGCTCGCTAGTTGCTCGTACCTATGTATCTTTTTTCAGACTCTCGAGTTTGTTGGTGAATGAGGAATGCAAACAGCTCGATTCCGAGACGCAGGTCCCAAACAAACAGGCAAATGAATAAATAAATATGCAAGCTGCGTTCTTTGTAAAAAAAAAAAAACAAGCCGACGATGGTTGATGTAACAATTCTATTGACAAAAAGATTTTGGGAAACGATAAATGGCCTCGATTCTATTCTAGAAATGCTAATCAAATCCACGTTGTATAACTGTTAAACCTTTTGTACCCAAAAGTGATAAACGATGGAGATTACTCACCATTTGCCGACATGTCTGCGCCCTGTATATATCACTCACGCCGGATAAACTCTGGAAGTATTTCTTTGTCCCATAGACGGTATCCATTTTTCATCCGTTACAATTCCAATCGCAGGTTCTAGAAAAAAACGAACAAACATTTTCGGGGATCATTGTTAGCGGTTTGCTTCACTTTCGTTCGGACTTTGCTTTCTTTTGGGGTCCACTTCGAGTGGGCCTAAGTGATCCGAACTCGGGATTTGATTCGGGGATCGGGCTGTGGAAAAGTCGCTAATGGGCCAGCATGCCGGAGAACCGGCTAATCCTGTTTGCCAGCCCATTAGCCAAACGAAAATTCTCACTTTTCGCCAGGGAAAAGAGGAAAAGAACAGTGCACAATAGCGATGAGATGTGCATGCCATTAACCGGTTTGATTTGCATTTTCCAAAGAACTCAAAAGTATTCAAAGGATTTGTTTTACAATGACGAATTGCGAAAATTTGCTCATAAGGTTTATAAGAAAATGATTGGTTAATAAATTAGTTAGTGAAAATCGAATATGCTTATATTATATTTTCATATTTTAAATAACTCTTCTATCTTTAGATCTGATGAATTTTAGGTATGGAATTATTTGACATTTTATCTTTCAAAGAAATTCTCAAGAACGAAGTATATTTTTTTAGTGATAAAAATCAAGATGCTTTTTAATACAACCGCTTCTCCCTAAACAAATGGAGACATTTCTCATGCCTATAAAAATTCCAACAATATTCCACCTTCTCAATGAAAGAAGGTATCACATAAATTTCATAATTAATTGAACCGCCAAACTGGTCAAAAAAGTGAAGACCTCTCCGGTGACCAGTCATAAAAAGCGAAAGCTCTCCGTGGAATAAACAAAATATTTAATTAGAGAATCCCCCAACACTCTGATACGCTCACTGGCTGAGCCCTACAAATTTGAAATTTTCACTTCATGGGAAGCTCCAGCATAAAGAACCCACTCCTCCGAATGGCTTAAGTACACAGCAGATGGGCTGACGATGGAATGGAGTGGGTTTTGGAAACCAGTTCTCCAGTTCTCCACATCCACATCCACATCCAAGATGGGATGCGATGGGGCCGGGTTATGGCTTGTTCCGCCGTCATATACACATGTAAGATCTCGGTATTTATAAAGCCACAATGTATGGTTTAGTTGTACATGTGCAATCAAAAGCAAAGTTCAGCCGCGGAGAAACGCGTGTAAAAATAGTTTTCGGTGCGGGAAGCCGCGGGCAGAAAACCGCCAACGATGGTTGGACTGGATGGTCTTTGGATGGATGACTTCAAGAGGTCTGGGGCCTGAGCTTTTCGAGCTGGCAAAAGTAAAAGTTCTGTTATTTTTAGGAATGTCTTGATGATGGGCTCTGTCTGGCGGAGAGAAACTAATTGGATACTTTGAATGATAATCAGTTCTGCAGAAGCTACATCAGAAATCGAACACCGACTTAATGGGGGATTATGCAAAATTTTAAGTTAATTGGGCAAGAAAACTTTTAATTTATTTTGTATATTTACTTTTGCGTTATATATTACAAATTCATAATTGTCAGTTGACCCATAAATATATTTCAACCCTATTTTACCTATCCGATTGATTTAATTTGTAGAATGTTGTGTACAAACAGCCATAAATCTTTGTATCTATTATTTTCCAGGTAACCCCCATTAACTGTAAACGCAGGCCCGGAATCTCTGTCATCGCCTTCACTTCCCATTGAATTGGAACGGAAACCCATTTGCCTAATAAAAAGACCGCCAAAAACGCGCTCAAGCTGGCAGAAAAAGAGGCAAATTGAAGAACCAGTGCAATTAGAGTTCAGGCCAACTGGTAGAGATATGTATACATTTATGGGTGGGCTCCAGGCGGAATTCAGGTACCAGGAACCCTCCACCCAAGACAGTTAGAACGCTTGGGGAGCCATCGTCATCGCCATAGCCATGGCCATAGCCACCAGCTTTTGACCTAAATGCGCATGCGCGAAGCCACGAAGAATGGAGGGGATGAGGTAAAGCCCGGAGACGGCCAAAACCAAAACTGGTAACTTGCGCTCGTCTCCCAGTACGTACTTACAATTGCGGTCAAAACAATGACGTTGTTTCCCCATTTTTAAATATTTGAAAAGGTTTAAATTTGGTAAAATTAAACTTATTAGGTGTCACTTTAATTGTAATATCTATTGTTATTAATCTTAAGAGAGCTTCTAATTTTATTCCCCAAAAAAGTATATTTTGACATTATTAAGAAATAATATTTTAGATATTTATCCATTTAATTGACTTTCAAATTGATCGGAAAATGTTTAATTAAATAATAACCTTGATAATTGTAACTTAAATTATATTTAATTCAAAATATAGATAATAAGACATCACTATATCTTTATCGCTATCATAATGAACTCAGTTGTATTACTTTTCTGTGTTTGGAGAAAGAAAGAATAAATTGACTTGTGTCTGAGCCGCCTGAAAAAAGTAAACGAAAATATACAGAAATAAAACAAAAATAATACTGGCACACACTCACTTGCAGACAGTGTATGTTTTTTTCGATTTAGGCATTAAGTATTAAGACGTCGCCGGCCACGCTTAAGTTGATTAAATTTCTCGCATTAGCCGATTTTCTCTATCGGTGAAATTGCTGGACGAAAAAGCGTCAAAGAATGATTGATGAGAATTTGATCTGGAAATTCAGACAGTTGTGGGTCTGTAGGTACACACTCTTGCATTCGTATATACATATCTGCAAAAATGCCTAACGGAAGTCGGCCATTAACCCGCTGGCACGTTTAACCCATTGTGTCCGATATCTGGCCAAATGCGTTGGCACTTCAATGCGATTTTCGGCCAGATTAAGATTCCCAGCCACTTTCAATCATAATAGCCTCGCCGACAAAGTGTCGAAGAAAGTGAAATGTGACAGGTGTTTGGGGGGCGGGGTTTTATTTATATTTACAGGCAAGGCATCGATGTCAATGGATGCTTATCAGAAAACGACGGTGAAATGGAAAGTTTATTTCGGACGCATCGGAAACTAGAGGAACCGCTCATTGACTCATCCGAACAATGCAGTATTTTTGATTATTTATCTACACGCCGGCTGTTGTTTGAGTTTGGAAAGTGATTGCCAATTGGCAGTCGCGTTTTTTTGGGCAGCCTCATTATGGAGGCTCGCAAACCGCTAGCCATATGTCATAATTGATGCCTCAATTTAGCGGGGTAGTGTGCAAATTTATGCAATCTTCTTTCTCTGCTTTCTTTTCCTAAAAGAAAGGCAAACAAGCCAGATAACTTGTCTAGTGTAAACAGAACGGACAGTAGATATTCGTTACAAAATTCAGTGGAAATGTAATAGGGTCTTAAATAATATAAAGGAAATGGCTTTTATTATTTTAATGGATTAATTAAAAAATCCAGAAGGTTTAGAAACTACTTGTTTCTATAAACTTTAAAACTCAAAAAGACTAATTATTATAGCTTTTTTTAAAGCTATATAAGATAAAATCAATAATGTACATTAATTTTAACAATGTAGTATATAGCGAAATGTTATCAAATAATTAAGATAATATTTTCCAAAGGCGCGTTGTATGGCTAAACAATGTAACGTAGCCGCTAATTGAATAATAAATTAATTTAATGTTTAATGGCCACCAATGCATGAATATGTATGCGTCGAGAGCAATCTGCGCTGCATTTGCAGTTTCGTAATCGCTCTAACGGCGCCAGCTACCAAGGTCTTACTGGAGCATAACCACTTTATAGGGGGTATAAGAGGCAAATATACCCCTCCAGTATTCCGAACCACTCGGCAGACAAATAGACTGCACAATGTAAAGCTCTGTGTACCGCTTCCATTGCGGAACTAAAAGTGCATTTCATTTCGATGACAAACAGAGGGAAGAAGTTGACAAGAATGAAAAGAATAAAAGTAAAAAAAATATATTATAACATAACGAAGAGTGGATAGGAGAGAATAGTCATTAAAAGCATTTACCGTTACGTCTTAACCGACGACCAAACTAATTAAAAAAAAAACAAATCCGCCCAGCCTTTCCCACATGTGAGCTCCCCCAAGAAATATTCGGAAACTTGATTACTCACTCTCACAGAACATTTTGAGTACTTGGGCCATCGGGCAGTCGAGGACGGACTGTACAGGGCGCCCCATCGAAGGTGAAATGTGTCAAGTCAGGTGAGTAGAACCGTTAGGCTGAGGTAACAGTATTAACAACAGTGCTAAATGCCGGATGGGCGACCTGTCAGCCAAACTGGGAAGTCCACTAAAACATAGCGGGTGAATTCATTCAATATTACCTAGAGAAATTAAAATATAATCTGTGGAATCATCACATCTAATTTCGGGGTATTTTAAATTCAGATTCCCATTTCCGATCCAAATTAAGAGGAAGTACTTTTAGCTTTAAAACTAACATTTAAGAGGTTACCAAAATATGAATTAAATATTTCAGCTGAAGCTTATAAATGCAAGACTATTTTTTGTTTTTGATAAAATCTGTTTTTAATTAATAGGTATTTAATAAGAGTCTATATATTACTAAACCGAAAATGCTTTGTTCAAGTTAAGTTTGATATTCTGATAAAATCAGCTGTTAATCATTTAAGTATCCAAATATTTGTATCCATTTACAATTAAACATTCCATAAACATTTCTGGCACCCTTTTTAAGATAATAATATGCAAATCGTAAGCCGCCGGCCAATTAAATTGACTTTTTAGCAATTATTTTCTCGTGGCAGTGGAAAACCCAACTTGTTCTGAATAACTCTATTTGGCTTGTGGCTCAGAAGCCGTGTCCAAATGCAAATGTCAACATGTGGAAGACAGCTTCCTCTTAGTATGCATCGACGCACTTGGCGGATAAGAACCCGAACTGCAATTAGTGCCACGATCAACATGCGAGGCACGCACATCTACTGGAGAACCACTCCTCCTTCTCTCTTGAAGACCAACCCGTACCATCTGATCCAAACCCACTAAAACTCACATCAGACCAATGCTTTTCCATTCTACTCGGCATATGTCTGCGTGGAAATGTTTCCATATATCTCAAAACACGCAGAGAAATAAAAAGTTTTTTTTCATGTTTATAACCACATATGTTGATTTACTTTAACCTTTTTTATATGAATCTAACTATATTTTGATCAAATAAAGGTAATGATTATTATAGCTTTTGATAAATAACATTTTATACATAAATAAAATTATGACAAATACGGCTGGTACAAAAACAAAACCGTTCTAAATAAGAACCGTCTAATAAGCAAAACATTATTAGTTAGAATCCCGATTCGTATCTTTAGTAATTACCAAAATGAAATGTAGATGAGTTATTTCGATATGAATTAATTCATTGTTTGCCGTAAATAAATGCTTTACGTTAACCATAATTTACTGATGATTTCTCTATAAAATCGAGTTCAAAAATTTTTAGATCAGTTCTCCTTGTTCAATAATACGTTACGATGGACAACAAACATCATTTTTACGTTACATTTCTTCTAGTGTCTGCATTCTTGGTTATGGAGGTAAAGTCATATATTTATTAAAAAATAATAATTTTAAGAAGTTATTAGGTTTGTCCCCTAGTTGAATTTACTAATTTCAAATGTGAATCTGTCGATAAAGACTTTTGCGAGATCGATAAATGTTTTTTAAAATCTGTTAACCGGACATACAAATACAGTTCCCTAAAAATCAAGCTCTTAAGGATTCCCGTAACCAAAGTTAAGGTATGCGGCAAAACATAATTTTTATCATAAGTTATAAATGCTTTTTAATTTCGATGCAGATCAATTTTGCACTCTATAAACGTTTCAATGGGTACAAGCCATTCCTCTACAATATAACACTAGACGCCTGCAAATTTTTAGAAAATCGAAACTCCAATCCCGGTGCTAGTTACTTTTTTGATATCTGGGAGGACATTTCCAATATGAACCACTCCTGCCCATACAACGTGAGTATACGAACAGACTATTAAATATGTACTCAGATATATTTTTTTCAGCATGACATAGAAATAGAGAAAATGTCTACAGAGCACCTTAATCACCATATAACCAATATTCTGCCATTTCCGAATGGAAGGTACATGTTCGAAATTCACTGGAAGGCTTACGACATAAAACGAGCTGTAACTCAATTATATTTATCTTTTACGTGAGTTTTTTTTAGAGCACGGAGTCATGTTAATCATTTTTAGCTTTATATTAAAAAACAAGAAGAACGCATTTTTATATTTGCTAGTTTTAAACATACATATACTTACATAATTATATATTTATGTACCGTAAAATAATTCTGATTGTAATTATAATTCCATACATTCTCCGATTTATAAACTAATATAATTGCTTTTTTGTAATAATAATTATATTTATGGAAAATTGCTTGGCTAAGTCAAGCTCTAAAATGTTTAATCAGTTCACGGGGGTTTATCAAAAATGTTGAACAACAAGTTACATTTTCCGTTGCTTATTTTCTTGTTACATCATAAAGGTCATAAAGGTAAAGAAGTCAGTACACCTGTTTAAAATTCTAATTTCTGTCATTGATGTTGATGAATAAAATACACATAATATTTTTTCATAGTGCACTCGAGTGCTTTATTCGCTTTACCGCAACGAACTCTTGCATTTGAGGTCGCTTTCCTCTTGGCAGGCGAAACAAAAGATCGGCCCATTAGAGGCGATTTTACATCATTTGAATGCAATTTAGCCGCAGCTTAGCGTTATGTTCTATTTCGCCCCGGCACGAAGTCAGCTGCAGAGATCAATCTGATGGCCAGTCCACTCCATCACACTCCACTCTTCTGGTTCTTCTGTCATTTGGCTTTGAGCCGAAGAATCGTGCGGCACGGATGATCAGTCGGGCTGCCAATTTGGGCCAGTCGCGATATATCTTCATGATGAGCATTTCGCATTTCGCATTTCTTGACCAATTTACGATTCTCAACGCAGAATCATTTGCTGGCGAAGAAGAGAATCCAAGAAAAGCCTAATATTGTGGAGGCGGGGAATCAACGATCTGAGATCTCCGAGATTTTCGGCGGGCTGCGACTCTTGACCGGCTCTTAACGAGCGAAAGTGTTTCATTAACTCGTAAATGAATAATTTGAGCCAAGACAACGAAAACGAAATCAAAATAAACCGAAACAGAAACAGAAACCAGCACTCACACCCGAGAAATGCTCGTAAAAATGTATATAATTTTTCAATCTCGATCTGGTTTTGCGCTTTTCTATTTCGTCTGTCTTTGATCCACTTCCGACAGACGAAAAAAAATGAAAATTTCATTGCCTCAGTGAAACTAATTTGAGGTGAAAATTGTCAAAATAAAAAAAAAAAATATTTAATGGGAGAAACACAGAAAAAATGCCTTGGTGACAGACAGACAGAAAGAGCGAAAGATATGGGTGTGTTTATGCGTCTAGGATTCGGACTCGGATTCGGATGCAGACTCGGATTTGGAAGTGGATTTGGCAACCTGTCTGGATCTCGGCCTTGTCCGAATGTCTCGTGCTGAGTCAGTGTTTTTGGCACTTTCTCCGGCACCGACCGACTGCAGTTATCAATGAGTCAGTTCAGTTTGGATCGGATAGGCTGAGATCGGTGGGGAATTTGCGTAAATTGTCGGTTATTACTGGGTGCCCCACCTTGAATTGGGTCAAAAATGAGTTCTGAGAGCCACAGCCTCTTCCTGTCGCCGCTTTTATGCGGCAGAACTGTAAAGTTAAGTGCTAAAAACTTTAACTGCGACTAAAAATCAATTTCCGCAACTGCATAGATAGGCGCTTGCAAAACGCTCATAACTCTAATGGGCACAGCTGCGGTTAAATTAATAGCACCTCAAGCTGTGCCTATATAATTTTAATTGCTTTGGATAATATAAATACTGTTGTAAAAATTTAATAAATGCGATCCTGGTTTTAACTATAAAATTAACTCAAGCTTATTGAAATCCTATTGTATTTGGATAAATTTTATACGCGTAACATTTTTTAACATGGCAATATTGTATCTTATAACTGTCGATTAAAGTATTGATTTCCCCGATCTCCCGATACTTTGCATTGCTATAGATCCGACCTCATCTGTCCATGCTCCTATAACAATCTGCCGTCATAATGGGCGACCCACTCATCTTATAGCGGTTAGTGGGATCGGAGAATAATGGAGATGGAGTTTCCTCCGCGATGTACGCCCCGCCGGTTCCGTGGATCCCAGAGTAAGTGCAACGGATCTGGGGCCAGTGGCCATGGCCATGGCTATAACGACGAAGACTGAAGTGAACTGAACACTGAACTGTCAATTGGCCCAGTTCATGAACGTGGTAATTGCGCGGTTAGCGACATATAAAGCGACACCAAGAAAAAGACCGCGAGGAGACAACAAAACGTTCTCCGGCCTTTTGTTTTTGAGTTCTTTGGACGATCTGTTCACCTGTCCACCTTTTTAGCCATTCTCAACGCTTTTATCGGTGCCAGTTGGTTTTTGGAGTTGGAATGCTCTTTGCTTTTTGCCGCCCTTTTTTTTCGGGGGGAGTCTTAATTTCTAATTTCTTTTATTACAGACTGGTTTTTTCGGTTTTTCGGTGAGGGCCCCGCGACTGGGCCCCTTTTTTTTATTGCCATTTTCGTTTTAACATCCATAATTTTGTAGCTTTGCCAGCTCGTTTGTGTGCGATTATTGCTCTTGGCCGGGCTTGAACACACCGTCTACCATTTTCTACCTCTTCCGCTTACGCCGAAGAAGTAATGTAACCAGTTTTGGACCTTCTTCAGGCCGGTACTGCTTTATTGCATGTCTAACTAGTTTATGGCCCAAGTCGCGCGACTTAGGGAGAGTCTGGAGTGATCCTGCTGCCGAGCACCTTTCTAGCAAATTGAGTTGTAAATTCCTAGATAGCTCACCTGCCAGGCTTTGCCAATTTATCGTCCCCCGTTGTTCAAGAAGATTGGTTCCATTTGAGAAAGGGGAGAATTGGAAAAAGAATTACTCCCTGCAATCGATTTGTATTTGAATTCAATCACAAATGTTGCACAGAATCGACTATATGTTTTATAGGAATATTTCCGACCGGGTTGGGTATTCGCGGTATTTGCTTTTGGACACTGCGAGAGCACACGAATTGGAAAAGTCAACTGATCGCGCCCGTGACTGAAGGTAAACTGAAGACGGTGGCCACAAATCTCAGGTGCTTGGCCTCCAAGAAGCTAAAAATGGAAAAGAGAAATGAAGATGGGCTCGGAAGAGAGCATTCTGCTCTCCAACTCTCTCCGCTCTTTCACTTGGCTCTCCCTTTATCAGCCAGTATAATTATTCTTTTGTTATTCAAATTGCCATCAATGTTTTATTTCTATTGTTGACTGGCTACTACAGTAGTTTTGAAGAAAAGTAAAATGTATTGTAAACTGCAATATCGCGTTGTTTGGAATGTCCAAATACTTTCTTATTTTTTAAATTTATTCAAGTTTTCCTTCTATCTTCTGGTTGAAATTGAATGTTTTAATGGCTTAAATTGCTTTATTTATAAATAATTTTAAGACAAGAGAAATAATTTCTTAATAGTTTTGTTTCAAATTAACACCATTCATTTTATTAAATGGTTCTTAACGTTTTAGATTACAATTAGACAATTAGATATTGCGAAATAAATTAGTTTAAGGGTTTTTAGGTTTATAAAACAAAGTGTAAACCAATTGGCGTTGTTGGTATAATTATTTATCTTTTGTATTTCTTTAAATTTAATCTCAATGATTTTCATTTTAGGAAATTGGTTTATAAAAAAAATCCATTATATGATTCTTAAATTTTTTAATGCAGCAGTTTTTCAGTGTTTTTTTTACGAATCCTCTTAAGCAACAAATAGTTTTACTTCTTATTTACAACGTAATCAAACAACGTAATCAAACAAATCTCAAACAGTTTTTAAGCGGTAGGTACATTAACTTGGGATTTGAAACAGCTAACAGTTTAGAACATTGGGAATTTGCACAGTTTATTTACAACACAATATAAACAGTTTAATTGGGTAATATGATGGTTAGCTGAAACTTTATGTTAATAATCATCCCATTAACCCGCCACAATTTCGTTGTGCCAGGACTTGCCAATCATGGCCACCACATCCCGCTTCAGTTTGGGGCCAATCAGCGGGTTCATCTGGGCCATGTAGCAGCACAACCAAAAGAGCCAGCAGCAGGCGGCGGCCAACATCAGGATGCAGCGAATCAGGTTCTGGTGAGGTCCTTTGGGGGTCATTATGGGCATGGCAATGCCCACGCCGCCCCACAAGGCGGTGAAAAACAGCACAGGAAAGAAAGCGGCGCCCATTTTTCTGCACTTAAGCTTTTCGATATTAAAGATTATCCCCGACTTTACGGTGTTTTTCAAACTTTCCGTTTTTTCCAAACTGATGGATATGAAAAATCAATAGATTTTCATCGATAGCTTAAAGATACATCGATATTTAACAGCTAGTTTTTGGTCACACTGGTCACATCCAATTACCGATAACGGGCGTTCCTAAAACCAGATGCTCACCACTTTCTACATTTGGAACTGCTTAGTGTAAAAATTATCCGAATTTACACTGATTATTGAACAAAGCACTGCTTTGTGAATATATTACTAATAAGCACTGCTTAGTGAAACAAATTCCCGATAAAATAAACAAACAAATTAAAACAAAAAAACGGAACGGAATAAAAAAAATGTAGTCAAATTTCTAGCTTAATCTTAAAAACCATTAATTTAACAAGAAAAAAGTCCAAGTTCCCACTCCCCGCTCTTTCCGAATTGCCCTAAAAAAATCCAAATTTGACGGGAAAAAAGCGAAGCAAGCAGCACTAATTTTTTTGTCAACATAATATTTAGAGCAATATAAATCCCAGCGGCAACATGACGATGCGACCTGATGACCACCGAAGGAAATGGGACAAGAACGAGTACGAGAAGCTGGCGGCGGAGCGGCTGCTCAACCAGGTGGCGCCCAAGGAAGAAGGTCAGTAAATGGATAGGTTTGCCTCGGAGTCATCCAAATCCATTTATTCTCAACCGCCTCCAGAACCCATACAACGAGAGAACCTAAAGCGACGCGACTACAAGGTGGACCTGGACAGCAAGCTGGGCAAGAGTGTCGTGATCAACAAGAACACACCCACCTCACAATCCGGAGGGTACTACTGCAACGTTTGCGACTGCGTGGTTAAGGATTCGATCAACTTCCTGGACCACATCAATGGGAAAAAGCACCAGCGCAATCTGGGCATGTCCATGAAGGTAGAGCGCAGCACCGTTGACCAGGTGAAGGAGCGCTTCCAGCAGAACAAGAAGAAGATGGAGGAGAAACAGAAGGACTACGAACTGGAGCGTCGGCTGCGCGAGGCCAAAGAGGAAGAGGATCGCTACAAGGAGCACCGCAAGGAGAAGCGGAAAGAGCGGAAACGCAAGGCCGAGGATACGGATTTCGAGGCTGGTGGCATGCCTGATGACATGGCCGCCATCATGGGCTTCTCCGGCTTCGGTGGCTCCAAGAAAAACTCATAGGATTTAAGTGTTGAACTGCCACCCAATTTAGTTGTAAAATGAAATAGAAACTTACCACCAAACGCGTCTAGTTTAGCTTGTGACATTTATTTTGTATATAAGACAATTTTACACCAGTTCTCCAGCTTCCCGGCTGTTCCCAGTTAGAATAATTTAATAAGCAGTCAGAATAATGCAAAAATGACTAAAACCATTTCACTAAGTCTAAGCATACGGCCGTAAAACACCTCAGGAATGGTTGGGCTTAGGTGAACACGAATCCCTGCTCTGTGGGTATATCCCACGGCATGGTGAAGAACTCCCCGGGCAACTGGGTGCAGTGCGTCGAGTTATAGTCGCGTAAATGCTTGCGCAACTAAAAATGGTAGACGGTATTAGTGTTAATATTAGTATAATTATGTTTAGATATCTAACTGCCAAATAAACCCACCAAGAAGACAGCCATGAGGTTGCGCACCTCGTCTGAGTAATCGGCTCCAATGTTCATGGGGAAGGACTTTCCCTCATCGGAGGCGTAGGTAATAAGGCGTGACATGCAGAGCTTCTCGTCGGCGGTGGGGATGGTGTACGGTTCCAGTGGCTTTGAAAGCAGCCCCTTGGCTTTGTTCAACTGGGAAGCCCCAAAAATGTTGGGATACCGGTGCTTAAGCACTGACAAAACCAAGAAATTACCGCGATTTGTATCAATGTGGTTGTCCCTGGATGATTTTAAGCGGTTATCATTTTAAACTGAAAAAGGTGTTATGAAGTTTACTTACTCAGCAATAATCTCATCCTCAGTGCGGCGAATGAAAGATATAGGTCCCTTAAACTCGTTTGCCAGCTCGGCATTGTTCAAATTGCAGTAGTTGCGAATGGCTACTTTGACAATGCCCGTCAATGCAGCTGGCATTCGTGGAATGGCCAGGTACAGCACATCATCAAAGGTGGCGTCCAGCACCACTCCCTTGACATCTGGATAAACGGATGCAGCGTACAATGTGCTGAAGCCACCAATACTCCAGCCATACAGAATGATGTCCTCCACGGAGAAACCCAGATTATTGATGGCAAATTGCACCACAGCATCAATGGCGTTTTTGTCCTGGTGCGGATAAGGCGTACCCGTGCTACCAGCGAATCCTGGATGATTCCACCCCAGAACTGAATACTTTAGGGCGACCGGGGTGCCCATTATGCCCACCTCATAGAAGCCGGCATTTCCTTCGGAGCAAATGACTAGCGTCTTACCATTTCCCACGTTGTCGTTGCGGTTGTCAATAAACAACGTGTCGATTTCGTTAGAGTCGATGGTTTTAACCTTATAGCGGATGCCATTGTCATCCTCGATGAGCTTGGCGCGTCCGGAGATCAGCATGGGCCCTGCACAAAGAGATAGGTTAGTTAGGGCATTTTTTTTTTAGACTTTTCATATTGATTATTTTTAGAAAAACAATAGATAGATTCTTGATAAGCAATGTTGGTAATATCGATGTATGTCGTGGGTAAGGAAACTAGTTTTCAGGTTATATGGCTAGACGTTACAAGCAAAATATACAAGCAGCAGTTTAAAAGATGACTAATATTTGTGTAGCTATGTATGACCCTTCGGATAAAATGCGCCTAACTTTAAACTTGTTCAACTTAAACAAATCCCAACTGATATATCGCTTATTAAAGTCTCAAAGTTTTATAGCTTTCATAGGACTTTCTTACTCATGAATTTCTGAAGCAGCTTGACGGAGCCCGGATAGATCATGGAGAGCCCAAATGTTTTAATGGCCAGGTAGGCGATCACCTCGCAGGGCAGGGTGGCCAGTTGGAGCGGTTCCCGCCTGCTGGCCGTGACCACGGGCTTTTTGGTATCCCTAGAAAGGAAGAGGTTTAATTCCAACCAACTCCAAAGTAATCACCACTTACCCGGTAAGGGCCTTCACATCGAAGTCCACCGGCCAGGCGTTGAACTCGATGTCGAAGCGGCGCAGCTCGCTGTTGGCGTCGCCTGGTGCCTTGGTCGCCTTCGCCCGCACCAGGGCCTTCATCATGTTGGAGTAGGAGCGCGACTGTTTGCGCCCGAGACCGCGCATCACCAGCGAGATGATTACGATGAGGCCCACGCTGGTGGTGATCTTGGCTAGCGTCGGCATGGAGTCGGTGACCAGGTAGCCGCGACGGTAGAGGAATGTCACCAGGAGTGGCGACGTGTAGTAGCCCACCGACCACATCACTGAAAGCTGCAAAGAGGAAAGTCCACTTGGTACCCGTACCATATGCTCCAGTTTTCCGTTTTCCCGTGGGATCGGAGTACACATACCGTCGATAGAATCTGCTCCCCGAACTTTTCGACCGCCCCCGCCTCGTACATCTTGCGCTGCGGCTCCGGCACGCCCCGGTATTCCATGAAGAGATTCGGGCCAAACACGTAATTGAGGAAACTCATCTTGGATCGGTATGTATTATTTCTGCGGCTGGATATATTTAATTTTTTCTATTTTGTTGTAATTGATGTGAAAGCTGTTCCAGGGTGTCGCAGTAGCAAACAGATGTTTCACATCGATTACCAGGGCTGACGCGTATATATGTGTAACGGTAATTGATTGGTAAACTTAAATTATAAAATATAGCTATAATTGCGATATATTCAAAATTTCGTAACTCCTTTTAAGTATAAAAATTGCAAAATTGACAGAGATTACAAGGATCCTTTTTCTAGTCTAGAGTTTAGTCTGTGCTTGCCATGGATTGTTTTGAGTTATTATATAGTCAAAAATTTGTAAAAAAAGATAAGACGGAAAAAAAACTTTTCGATTTAGAGTTGTTTTTTTCACTTTGATAATTTTAATATGTAATTATGCATAATTTAAATTGTAGGTACAGATTTGAAGTTTGAAAGTTCCTGAAATTAACTTGCTCCCAATTGGAACTAGTTCCCCTTATGCTGTTATCACAGTGCTCTCCATCCCTGGTCCTACCCCCAAGAATTAATTCCCAGTTTATAGACAAAAACGCCGGCTAAAAAATGGAAAAATTCAATAAAGCGCAGGCCAAAAATCTAGCTGCTGCCCAGAAACTGGTGGACACCTACGCCTCCAGCTCCGAGGATGAAGGCGAACTGGATGAGCAGCATATTTTGGGTAAATCAACCGATGCTCGTGACGTGTCATTGGCAAGCTAACAACTATTCTGCTTTATCAATCCTCATTATCAACAATCCCGATATAGAGCTCCTCTATAAGAACTATCGTCCGACGGAGAATGCCGGGAGCTCCAAGGATGCGGCGCGGACAAGCACTTTCCTGGAGAATACCCTGCACTCCGGAGCAGCCACTTGCCTCATCTGCATCGGAAGCATTCGACGGGTGGAGGCCATCTGGTCTTGCGAGAGCTGCTACTGCTTCTTCCACCTAAACTGCATCCAGCGGTGGGCCAATGACAGCATGATGCAGATGAAGGTGAAAGCGGCGGAGCAGCAAAATGGCCAGGCCAGCCAGGGGCACTACAATCACCTGGGAGAGTTTGTGCCGCCCAAGCGCCAGAAATCCCTGCACTGGTGCTGCCCCCAGTGCCGCAGGGACTACCAGCCGACGGAAAAGCCAACGCAGTACAACTGCTTCTGCGGCAAAGAGGCGAATCCCCAGAACCAGCCCTTTCTGGTGCCCCATTCTTGCGGGGAGATCTGCGAAAAGCTGCTCCAGCCGAAGTGTGGACACGATTGCAAGCTATTATGTCATCCGGGGCCATGTCCTCCCTGTGCCCAGCAGGCGCAGGTCTCTTGTTTGTGCGGAAAATCCAGTCCCAGGTCCATGAGATGCATCGACAAACAGTGGAGGTGCCAGCAACCGGTAATATTAAGGGATATTACGATAGTATTCCTTTGTGCTCACCGATAATTCAATCTTCCAGTGCAAAGATCTTCTGGCCTGTGGCAAGCACAAGTGTAATCAGGTGTGCCATCGACCCGGACAATGTCCACCTTGCACCAGCAAGAGTCTGCAGCCTTGTGAATGTCAGCGGGAATCCAAGATGGTCAACTGCTCCGATCGCAAATGGAAGTGCCAGAATGTAATGAATATCCACATAATCAAAACAACCATTATAAAACCTTGATTCCTCACAGGTATGTGGAGCTCCATTTGCTTGTGGTTTGCATATATGCGAAAAGGTTTGCCATGCTGGACCATGCGGCGATGGGGAGTGTCCATTGCAAGTCAGGAGTTGTCCGTGCGGCAAAAATGTATGTCTCTGATTGATCTACCAGCCTTAATTAATGTATTCGTAATTCCGCAGACTCAAGTAAGACCTTGTAATGAGGCAGAAGAAACCTGTGGCGATACTTGCCAAAAGCTTTTGTCCTGTGGGCAGCACACTTGCACCCAACGTTGTCATCGTGGTCCCTGCATTTCCGTAAGACTTATAGTGAGAAAACATAACAATACTCTAAGAACTTATATCTTACAGTGTCCTGTAAGAACTAAAAAGAAATGCCGATGCGGCCTGCATGAAAAGGAGCTGCCCTGCTCCAAGGAGTTCACTTGTGAGACTAAATGCAAGCAAATACGCGACTGTGGAAAACATGCGTGCAATAGAAAGGTATTGAATGCATCCAGGCCTTTTGAATTTGTAAAATAATTTATTTCCATGTTTTCCTAGTGCTGTGGTGACCAGTGTCCTCCCTGTGAGAAGATTTGTGGCAAGCAGCTGAGCTGCAACAAGCACAAGTGTCAGTCCGTGTGCCACAATGGACCTTGCTATCCCTGCAAACTGGAATCCCAGATCAACTGCCGCTGTGGAAAAACCAGGAAAAGTGTTCCTTGTGGCAGAGAGAGGAGTGCACGCATAGTGTGCCTGGAACTCTGTCGGTGGGTGATACTTTTCTTAAATACACAGGTCAAATATTAATTTAATCTCCCGAAGTATAACTGCCAAATGTCACCACGCCATTAAACATCGCTGCCACAAAGGCGAGTGTCAACCTTGCGGCCAAGTGTGTGGACTTCCCAATGACACCAGCCAATGTGGACACATATGTAAGGCTCGCTGTCATGAGGCAGTAAGAGTAAACAAACCTAAAGAGGCTAGGCCGCAGGCCAAAAAGGTGAGGTATCCTTTCTTACTTAAAACTCTACTTACAACATTTTTACAATTTGTGTTACAGTATGAATATAAAGCATTACCCCATCCCCGATGCGAAGAAGGCGTCATTGTCACCTGTATCGGGGGACATGAGGTGGCCACCTGGCCGTGCTGGAACTCCAAGCCCAGCTCCTGCCAGCGAAAGTGTGCGCGACAACTCAAGTGCGGCAATCACAAGTGTTCCTTGGTTTGTCATTCCGTGTCACTTCCCAAGGACATGACCCAGCAAGTTGGATGTGCCAACTGCGAGGAGGGTTGCTCCGTTCCTCGACCCACCGGATGTGTTCACGTCTGCCCCAAGGGCTGTCATCCACCGCCCTGTGCACCCTGCAATTTTGTGATTAAGAGCAAGTGCCACTGTGGACTCAACCAGTTGGTGTACAAGTGCAACGAGTATTTTGACGAGACGGGCACTGTTCAGGAGATTATCGAACGCAGGGAAAAGCTACGCAGCTGCGGTAATCGATGTTTAAAGAATGTAAGTAATTTGGGTATTCAATATAGAATGTCTATTGAAAACATTAAATAAATTTTCTATATTCCTATCTAGTACCCCTGTGGTCATCGCTGCACAGCCATTTGTCACTCGAGCAAGTGTCCCAAACCCGAGTTGTGCCGCAAGAAGGTTCGCATCTTCTGTGCCTGTAAGCGACTCAAGCAGGAGATTGCCTGCGACAAGCATCGTGCTGGTCAGACATCTTTGGAGTGCGACTCCAACTGCAAAGCTGAGCAATCCCGTGTTCAGGCGGCGGAGCAACAACATCTGGAGCAGAAGCGTCGCAACGAGGAGGAGCGGAACCGTTTGGAGCTCGAGAAATTCGAGGCCAAATTCGGCAAGCGCAAGCACAAGGAGCGCAAGACCGTAGATGTGGGTCCTGCCAAGAGCAAGATCGACTGGCAGCGAACGGCTATTTATGTAGTATCAATTCTCACAGTTTTGGGCGCCATCGCAGTGGCATTTTACGCGGACAGTTAAAACAGTAACAACCGATTCAAACGAAAATTTGTAATATCAATTTAAACAGATAAGCAAATAGAATTAAAACAACGACTGATAAGAATTTCCAGCCAGGCAATATTTGTCTATGTTGAGCTCTTCTAATCAGGCCGACCAATTATTCTGCCTTGGCCTTCTTCTTGTAGAAACAGGCGGCGGCAAAAACGGAGGCACTTAGGAACGTCGAAATCAGGAAGTTGGACAGCAGCATCCAGTCGTGAGATTGGAAGAAGACGGTGTAGATTCGAGCTGCAAGATATCAATACGGGTTAATTGGTGACCTTTTAATGGGAATGCAAGCTGTGATCTCACTCATGTTGGTAAAGGCAGAGAGCGCCCAAGTGGTTCTACTGACGGAACTGGCGTCTTTGGACCTCAGAATGGCCAGCAGCTGGAGCACCTTACTCGTAGCTCCAATTGGCGTGCAGAAAGGCTGAAGAGAAAACAAATATTTAAATAAATACCGAGATATATATCAATTGCCCGAGTGCTAGGGTATTAATAGCTGCTCAAATATTATACAATAAACACCGGTGACCTTGAGCAAAGATGATGCCCAGTTAAAAACTAAAACAAAATATAAATCAAAGCAAACCCGTTTGTCGGAAGCATAATTAGTTAATTGGAAAAGTGATTGCCAAACGGGTTTGAAAAACGTTGAAGTTGTTATCTGGGCAAGAATGCCCTAATCAGTGGCCAGGTGATATCTTTGGTCTTACTCACCACCAGGAACGTAAGGATGATAATGGGAAAGAGCTTCAGGTAGATGAGGGCTGCTACTATGCTATATAGTATGGCCACTAGCTGTGTCCTCTTGCCCAGCAAATCCTGGTACTTGAAGGCATAGTATATCAGAGCGTACTCCTGAAGCAGCAGAACAGGATACTCCATGTACGAAAGGAAGTCATAGCCACTGGTGTAGTTATAGGACAGCATCACAGTGTAGCTAAAGAGCTCCAGACATAGTCCCAAAACGCTGATGCCTGATCCAGAAACAAAGAGATTGTAAGTGGGCGGACGGGTCAGGGATTTGTGTGGGTGGTGCTCTCACCTTTCGAGGACTCGTTCGCCCGTATGGTATTTATCTGCGGCACCTTGATCACCAGGCAGGACGAGACCGTGATCAGGCTGAGCAGATCCGCGATGACCAGCACCAAGCCCCGCTCCAGATATTCGGACACCACATCTCCAAGAGCTCCACTCATTGCGACCGTCGAAATTCGAAATTTGCAATTCTTATGTGCCAGTGTGACCTAAGCATTGTGTGGATGAAAATGCTAGTTCTACCCCACCCCTCCCATATCATAAGAAAATCGCGATAGTTTTATACAAAATTCAAATAAATTATTTATTTTCCTTTATTTAATAACTTTATATTAACTTGTTTTAATGTTAACTATGTGAAATTAACCAATATCCTTCTGTGACATTGTTTTAAGTGCAGAGCACCAACATTGTTATTATTATTTCAATTATATTCACAAAAAACGTTTGAATCACAAATTGTATGAATACCTGGCACTATTTGCCAACCAAATTCCAAGTTATTCAAAAGTAGTTGTGATTTTTAAAAACTATTAATCTTTTTTTAATTTTATAAGAGCCAAGGGGATTTGGGGAAGTTACTATACAAAATTTAAATAATTAAATAGTTCATATAGTCGACATAAATTTTACTAAACATATAAATATCACAGTATTTATTCCCATATGTATCTTTACTTTTGTGTCATACCACTTAAGGACACTCGCATCTCTAACCTCGACTCCAAATTCCAATGGTATATTTCAACGGTCGAGCGGTGGTCACACTGGATCCGCATTAGTTTTTTTTCGGGTCCAAAATCTGTCCAAATCCGCAAATCGAAAGAAATTATAGACTTGATAATTAGATAGACAAAGTGAGATTAAGCCGTAAAAAGGAAAAGTTTGCGATTCTCAGAGGAGCAAAGGCCCCAAAACGTATGTGAAAAATTTGATTATACGTGTGTGCTGCGCCTGTGTGCGCGTGTGTGTGTGAGAGTGGGCCCAAACGCAAAAAGTTTTACATGCGTTTATGTAGTTAAAAAATGAAAAACAGATTGTGTCCCTAAAATCAGGGTGTGTTTCTTGGGCCCCTCCACATTAGAACTACCTAAAAACGTTTATAAACAGTTTGGAAAGAACCACGCGCATTTAAACTTTTGCTGTCGCAGTATGTGAGTGTGTGTGTGGCTCTGCCTGTGTGTACAACAATGTCCACATTTTTCTTTTGTTGTTTGCTCCACGAATTATGGGGCTATCCCTCCATCTCCATTTCCATCCGCTGCATTTGCAGGTGCAGAAAAGTGGGGTTAGGAAATCCACAAGGAACTCATATTGCTGATCTGAATTTGCAACGAAAGTAATCTATTTTTGGGGGACCACAGGTCTCTTCTTATTATCTCTGTGTGTGTGTATGCAACGATTATGACGACTCCACACCCGTGGTTGAAATCCCAATCCACAGGGAGAAAATATGTTTTTAAGCGCATCCCGATTGTCCTTTGGCACAGGTAAAACGTATTTATGTACGGTGTGAAAGCGGAGAACCCGAAAAGACCCTAAAAAACATTTTTTTTTGGGAGGTCAACAGCCAAGGGACATTGGAAGGAGGAGGGGGGAGGGTTGAAAGGGAATAAAAGAAAATGTTCGGGAGAAATGCCTGCACATCTGATCTGTTTCGCCAGTGATGCAACAGCAGGAGCGCTGAAAATTCCTTTGTGATCTCGCCCCTTTTGTTCTGCGGATGCTGCGCTGCAATGGCTGATCTCTGCCTCCTTCTCCTATCCTCCACCTCGTCCCAGAAATCTACCAATCTTTGCCTGCAGCGATCCCTTTTTCTCTTGGGTGCGTGTGTGTGTGTGTTGGTAGGATGTGATGGCCAGTCAAGCTGCTGTCAAGCATCAGAGATGCGCAGCTCCGATTTTCTAGTCACTGTGACTGAGAGCTGGCAAGGATCAATATTGAATGCATCGATCTTGATTTCCAATTGTTTTAAGGAACATAACATTTAAGATGAATGATCTTTTTTTCTTGTATGACTTGTTTTCCATATGCATTCATACTTGGCCGCCGTAGTAGTAAGAGCAGGGGAAGTCCATCTGACATTAAAAGTTAGAAATACATTATTCTGATGTTTATTGAAGCTGTCACTAGTTCGTTGGGATTTTCCGAGCGAGTTCTTACGAACTAAATTTAAAATGTGACTTAACACAAATGATAAAGAATATATTACACATTTAACCACATAGGAATAAAAATCACGTTTTTGGTCAATGTTTTTGGTTAGGCAGCCAAAAATTCAGTGACTCAACATGGTGTTTGCCAGTAATCTTCAAAAGTCAGCATTTCATTTTTCGTGACTATTATAAGGTTAGAGATTTTCTTAGTCTTAATCAGTCAGTTCAATTTTTTGTTCTTCAACGTTTAGTGACAGCTGTTCCTGGTCACAGTCACTTCTTCCCTTGTTGATCATCTCTGCAATCCAGTCAAAAGCGGAGGGAAAAGATAGCGGCTTGAATTGCAAGGTGTACGTGATGTTGTTGTTGGTGGTGCGGCTGCTGTGTATCTTTGGTGCTTCTTCTTCTTACGTCCGTTACTTCTCGCTCTCGTCATCTCTGCTCTTTTCTCTCCTCATCTCTCCGCAATACCTTTTTGCTGCCTTCTGTCTCTCTTTCCAGTCTTGTTTTTGTTGTAATACCCGTTTCGTCTTCTTTTTCCCATTCTACTTCGCGCCGTTTTAGCCTCTTCTTCCGCCGATCCGATGCACTTTTGTAATTTCCTTTTTCGAGTTCCAGCGACGTCGGCAGAGTCGGCTGCTTACAACAAATTTTTCCCACTGCTTTTCATTGCTTCGGTTTTTTTTTTTTGCAACCATCAGTTTGCGCTTGTTGCGTGGGAATTTCGGATCATCTTCGATTCTCAGGGCACAAAAGGATCGTTCGTTGTAAGTGGTGAAAAATTGAATTCCCTCGGTTTTTGGAAGCCATGTAGCGTCTGTTTATAACATGCAAAGGAGCTTCTCTTCCTAACTTCCAATCACTTCTTTCTAAATTGTTAATACTAGCGTTCGTTTTAAACTGACATTTACTTTTTTCAAGACCCCTTTGCTCAAATCGTTTACTTTTCCAAAATAGTGCCTGCTCTAAAGATCTAATAACTAAAACTAAAATAATAACTTTCCCAAGAGAGTGCCTACTATACAACCAATTCCAAATTACATATCTTTCCAGGAGAGCGTGCTGCCCACTTCTGGATGCCTGAAAAGTATTATGGAAAGAGGATGCTCAGCTGCTAGCAGTGAATTTGTGGCCAGTGCAGGGGAGTGTACTCAGTCAGCAGTCACCAGCTCCACCTCCACGTGGGTCAAGAATCAGGCCTCGACCAGCCGGAAAGCAGGATCATCAGTAGCAGAATCACCAGAAGCGGAGTTAGGATCGCCAGGAGCCAGCGGAGAAGCCTTTGTATCTATGTCAACGCTGCGGGAGGATGTGGAGGACGTGTGTGTGTCGTCAAACTCACAGCATGGCTTCGCTGTAGTTCTGGACGACGAGTCCAGCACCTTTGAGATTAGCTCTTCCAACTCACTGCCCACCAGTGCTGGTGCGGCGTCCACCGTGGGTGTGGTGGCCGTCGAAGACAGCTCCTCCACTGACACCTTGAACGGTGGACATCCGTTAGGCCTCCCTGCCTCCTCGGAGCACAGTCGTCAAGGTTTCTTCAATGAGGATAATGAGGATCCTCCGGTTGTCTGCCTTATAAACGACGATGACGATGAGGACGATCCAGAGCCGGAAGACGAGGATGAGGAGGAGTTGATAGAGGACGAGGACGAGGACGTGGTGGATATTGTAGTAGCCGCCATTGACTGTCCCAACACATCACAATTGGCTTTGGCCGACGGCACCATCATGGCGGCCGATGGATCCAAGATCTTCCTGGAGACTCCCGTCGTGGAGGAGGCCCAGCCGCATCCTGGCCAGGTGGTCACAACAGGATCCCAGTCAGAGCTCACAGGAAAGCCAAAAAGATTGAGCGATGAGTTTTTGCTAGGTGATGAGGAACAGGCGGAAAACCTGGCTTTGGTTAGAGGTATCAAGTCTGAGCCTGGCAGCGCCGTGAACGACAATCCATCTGAAGGCGACGATGCGGCCACTTGTTCCTCCCTGCACGACCGCCTCATGTCCGTGCGGCTGAAGCAGATGAGCCTCACGGCCAATGCAGTTTCAAATCCCTCGCCGGCAGCTTCTGCCAACGCCGCCGCCGCAGAGGAGGCCTCCACATCCAATTCCAGCTCAAACTCTAACTCCTCCTTAACCAAGGCAGATATCGAGTCCATGGATCTAATCGAGCGGCGAGACTTCGAGACGGAACAGCGGTTGACGGGAGGCATCATCCTGCGCACCAGCTCCATGTTGAGCCAGAACAAACTGAATCTAAGTCTGATCAAGTCCATGGCGGGAGGTAGCAGGGTAGCCAATGGATCGGGCACGGCCAACAGCGACGATTGGCCCAGCAGCAGCAATGGGCGCACCGTCTCCTCGGACAGCAAGTATACCTACAAGGATCTGTCGACGACTCCCACGAGCAGTCGCAAGTACACCAACAGCCGGCTAAGCAAGTCCACTGCCAAACTGAATCTAGGTTCCACGCTGGGCGCCTCCAGCTGCAGCCAGCACAGGAGCAGTACCAGTTCCACTTCAAAATCCTCCGAGTCGTCGACCAGCTGCACCGGAGCAGCCCGAACGGATGTTTACACCAACACAAACTCGAATGATTACCCTGGCCTGGTTCCGACTACCTCCGGGTCGTCCACATCCAGCGGTAGCTGCCAGCAGGAGCAGGAAGAGAACGTGAGTGCATCAGTATCTTACAGCTCGGTGGGATCGCAGACTTCTCAGGAAGGTGGTTGCAGTCGAACCACCGCCCTCAATCCCACGGCGGCCTGTTCCGCCGGAACCGCTTGCTTGAGTGACTCGCAGGCCTCGACATCGGCTTCCACCTCCTCCGGTGCCATCGGCACTGGAGCGTCCAACTCCAATCGTTGTCAGTATGCTGTGGCGTCGACGACGAAAGCAACGCGCCAGGTGAATGCAAGCGCCCAGACCCAGGAGCGCTTCCTGGCCCGTAGCAATCCATCAGCGACTAGCGGAGCAGGAGTAGCTCAGCCGGTGGCAGCAGTGCGGCAACGACGCAACGGTTCCAGCGATGTTGCCCACCTCGAAGTGGTGGTGGAGGA